TCGTCTACAGAAAACCATATTTAATAATGTAGAGCTGATGTGGTCTATCCAATACGATTTTCTCAGCACCCCAAATAACCCCAGGAAAAGGTCTAAAAACAAAGATACCAATGCACCCCCGCTTCCAGGTACCACATGGAACGGTTCTGCTCAGGGGAAGGGAAGTAGCAGTCAGGAGTCTTGTCACGTCTTTTGTGAGTAGTCTGCCTTTCTCCTCCCAACATCACTGTTGCCTCAGCACTATAAGAGACCAGTCACCCTCGTTGCAACAGTGTAGTAATTGTGAGTCCGCTGACCATATTTTAGTTCTTAGGGACCACTGGTGGTCCACAGATCACAGGTTGGGAACCACTGTGCTATACTGTAGGAAAGATTTACTTGAAATTAAGATTTCATATGTATCTGAGTAAAAATGTAATAAATCAATTCCTCCAAAAGTCAGCTAAGATCTTGTTTATTGCTTGTGTTTCTTTATGGATGTTGCTTTGTTTTTCCTCCACATTCTGACTTCAAACTTTAGGGTATCGAGTATTTTGAAGTTTTTGATATGGTTAAAGTCTCAAGATCCATCACGAAGAAGTTACCCATGAGTTAAAATGATTATAGCTTCCACTGTAACTATCCAGAATAAATGCAGGTCTTAAATATGTGTGAAATAATTCCAACTTCCTTATGGACCCAGATTCTATGAAGATAGAACATCATTTTAGAATCTAGTCCTTCGATTTCTTAAATGAGCAAGTGCAGAAGCCACACTTCTATCATGAACAGCATATGCTTCTTGTGTTCCTTAGCCCAGGGAAGTATTAACAGTACTTTTCTCCTGAAACAAAGCTTTCACAAACTTCTTTCAAATTTTGAGTTTATGAAGGAAGCACTCAGATAGCAACTTTATACAAACATAAGAATGATCACTGCTAAGAGCAGTGCCTCCTTTGACCAGATGAACTAGGACAGTGGTTCCCAACCTTTTTTTGACCAGGGACCACTCTCCAATATTAGTACCAAAAGGGATACTAATCAGTTTTTTTGGTAACTTTAGATTGTTTGGTTATTCTCTCCTGACGTTTCATCTGCATCTATGGCAGGAATCCTCAGAGGTTGTGAGGTCTGTTGGAAACAAGGAATATGGGGTTTATATATCTGTGGAAGGTCCAGGGTGGGAGAAAGACCTCTTGTAGTTTGGATTGTTTGAAACTTTCTTCTAGAACAGAATCACTAGATTCTTGAAAAGTCTGTCAAAATTATATTAATTCATAGATCTTTGTAGAAATCTAAGAATGTGAGACCCATACAACTCTTTTGCAGAGGCAAATATACTGATTTGTCTTATGGGTCCAGTTGTTGAACCTCATTCCTTTTGTGGTGTGCTCAAAGTCCAATATAAAGCTTTGGGCTGTTGAGGAACCTGATCCTTGAAATGAAATGTTAGCTTGTTTAACATCTACATGCGACCACTTGCTCAGCTGGTTCGAGGTTTTGGGCTTGAGTGTTATCAGTACGCCGATGTCACTCAGCTGGTGCTGAAGATGGAAGGCCGACCGGACTCTGTACCTGATTGTTTCCATCAGTGCCTCGAGGCCGTTACTGGATGGCTGTATGCCAGCAGGTTGAGGGTGAATCCAGCAAAGACGGAGATCCTATGGCTGGGTCAACCGGGCAGTGGGGATATCCAGCTGCCTACCCTGGATGGCGAGGCGCTATGCCCGTCATCATTGGTAAAGAGTCTGGGAGTCCTTTTGGACCCTCTGCTGACGATGGAGGCCCAGGTCTCCGCCGTTAGCAGAACCGCCTTTTTTCATCTGCGGCAGGCTAGACGGCTGGCCCCCTACCTGTCCAGGGACGACCTAGCTACGGTGATCCAGGCCACGGTCATCTCAAGACTGGACTACTGTAACGCCCTCTACATTGGCCTTCCTCTGTCGGTGATCCGGAACCTCAAGTTGGTACAAAATGTAGCTGCTTGGCTTCTTGCGGGAATTCCGATGAGATGCCACATAACCCCAATCTTACTACAGCTGCATTGGTTACCAATTGAGCACCGGATCACTTTCAAAGTGATCGTACTCACCTTTAAGGCCTTGCATAGTCTGGGGCCGATGTACCTGAGGGACCGCCTCACCCCCTACCAACCCCAGAGATCCCTCTGTTCTGAGGACCAAGATCTATTGGAAGTCCCCAGTGTCAAGACCTTGCGTCTAACAGCAACCAGACGCAGAGCCTTTACAGCAGTGGCACCATCACTCTGGAATACTCTGCCACCTGGTCCATGCCATGCGGGACTTATCAGCTTTCCGCAGGGCATGTAAGACATACCTGTTTCGACAGGCCTTTGATTTTTGATATTGCTGTTTTTAAATTGTTTTAAAATTGTGTTAGATTTTAGCCATTCTTGTAAGCCGCTCCGAGCCCCAGGGGAGTGGCGGCATATAAGTTCGAATAATAAATAAATAAATAAATAAATAAGTATGTAAGTAAGTATCTCCTACTTTCCTTCAATCTTTCTTTTAAGATAGAGGTTTGGCTAGATCAGTGGTTCCCAACTTCTTTTTATCCAGGGACCACTTTGACCAGGGGACCACCCTCCAACATTATTACCAAAAAGGGTTATGAATCAGTTTTTGGTCAACTTTAGATTTGGTTTGGTTATTTTGAGGGTGCTGATTCAGAAAATTGCATTGGATAGACCACATCAGCTTTCGTTTCTGGTACAGAACATATGCCATCCAGTAGTTGCCATCTGCTCATCCACAGAGCTGATGTGGTCTATCCAATGCAATTTTCTGAACCAGCATCCCAAATAACCCCAGGAACAGACCTAAAAACAAAGACACCAAGGTGCCCCCCCTTCCAGGCACCACATGTAACAGCTCCGCTCAGGGGGAGGAAAGAAGAGAAACAGATATCAGGAGGCTTGTTGTCGTGCTTTTCGTGGGTAGTCAGCTGCTCCTCTCCCGACATCCCCGTTGGCTAGGCACTATAAGAGGGTTTTGCAAGACCAGTCGCTCTTGTTGCAGCGGTGTAGTAATTGAGAGGTCGCAGAACATGTTTTAGTTCTTGGAGATCACTGGTGGTCCATGGACCTCAGGTTGTGAACCACTGGAGGAAATCTCAGGATGTGTCTGACCAAGCACGGGCTGTGGCTTCACTTAGGGCCTATTCTGTGGCTATACGGGTAGCCAAGGAGACCTCACAACTGCCCGTATAGCATTTGTATTTAATAGATATTCGGAGTTGTTTCGGGTCGTTGGGGAACTTCTTCACCCTCCTGAGGTGGAGACTTTCGATGGCCCGAAAACTCGGTGCTGCGAATTTGCGCAGCACTTTGCAGACAAAGTTGCTCAGATACGTCTTGAGCTGGACTCCAGTTTGATCGCAGTTCCAAGAGAGGTGATCGAGGCATCTGCTTGTCTGGTTTTGTGGGATTCCTTCCGGCTTGTTTGTTCCGAGGACATGGAGGTGGCCCTTGGGTCAGTGAAAGCCACTACATTAGCTCTGGACCCCTGCCCGTTGTGGCTAATTAAATTGGCCAAGGATGGTCTGATTGATTGGTTTAACTTCCCTTGATTACACGATCTTGAATAACTATAGACCAATCTCAAACCTCCCTTTTCTGGGCAAGGTGTTGGAGCGGGTGGTCGCTGCTCAGCTCCAGGGCTTCCTTGATGACATCAACTACCTGGACCAGTCACAGTCTGGCTTCAGGCCTGGCCATGGCACCTAGACGGCTTTGCTCGCCTTGGTGGATGATCTCCGTAGGGAGCTGGACAGGGGGAGTGTGACCCTGTTGGTTCTCTTGGACATCTCAGCGGCTTTCGATACCATTGATCATGGTATCCTTCTGGGACGCCTCTCCTGGACAAGAAATAGGACAAGAAATAACTTTCAGGTTTTGGGGGAAAGCCCCACAAGCCGTAAACTGTTTTGGGGAGGGAGAGCCATGGCTTCTAGAAGGTATTAGAAATGGATGTGTGAGACACGGATCGCACCAGGGGACTGCATGCAACCCAAAAGCCATACTTTTTCAACTCATACTTTACAGGCACAGAAAACATGTGGGAGCTGTAAAGACAGTGAACTTTACATCCAAACTACTTATTAGATGTGGAGTCAAATTTTGCTTAGACTAGCCTCAGTCTCACTGATGACTAAAATCTGGATGCAATCCAATGTTGACTATTCATCCACTGCACTTTGTAACACAGTTTTTGTTCCTGTATTATAAATGTCATTTCCTAATTGGTTCTATCACAAAAACATGGAAAAAGATTATTAAAGTACAACAACTTTGTTTTTGCTGGACATCCTGCAGAACGTTTTGTGATAGTTTTTCAGTGAATAACTCATCAAGTCTCAACCAATTCAACATTGTTTGTGGCAGCCACAAAAACAAAGTTTCTAGAGTTTAATAACTACTTTCAAATTAAGTACCACACAATTAAACAGGAAATAACACTTTCAAAGCAGGAACAGAATTTTTTTCAAATTTTGTTACATAGTGTAATGTGTCATTCATCCTATGAAGTTGAGTCCAGCAAAAAAGAATACAGTATATTCTGGCGTATAAGACTACTTTTTAACCCAAGAAAATCTTCTCAAAAGTCAGGGGTCGTCTTATACGCAGGTGTAGTCTTATGCATGGGAGTTGTCTTAACTATATTTTAACTGGAAAAGTTGGGGGTCGTCTTATACGCCCAGTCGTCTTATATGCCGGAATATACGGTACATATCTCGACATTTTTTTTAAAGGATCATAGGACTGTTTTTAAGCAGGTGGGGTATACGTGACACTCCAGATGCTATAGGGATTCCTGCTTTTGTCAGCTCCGCCCAGCACAGATTGGGGGGGGGGGGGTAACATCTGGAGGGCGACAGATCATGCACATCTGCTTTGTATGATGGTTTGAGACAATTACTATGTGTAAGAGGATAGGAAGACATGGAAAATTGTGTTATATTTCTCATTTAATACAAAGACATGAAATCATCTGCTCCCACCATAGGGAAAAATTACAATGTTTTTATTTAAGTATGGACATTTAAAATGTAAGTATGAAAATGTAAATTTTAAGTATGAAAATCTTAAAGTCTGAAAAATATAAAATGATATGATATCCCAAAAAATAGCCAATTATTTTACTAGTACTCTTTACAGGCAAACCATGACACCAAAACTACACCAATGTAGACTGAGCTCCAAGCAATACACTATGCCGGAATGGAGATTAAGTGAAACGTAAAGGTTGCACATTTTAATTCTGGATCCTTAAGGCATATTTTGACTTTGAAAATGGCGTATCTGCTGCATCTTCTTCCTTTGTCTTATCCAGGAAGACAGTCAATTTGTTCTCTTTATCCTTTTTTACATTCTTTTTACGCTGCAAAATTAAACAAAGCACCGGTGAGCATTATTTTACTTTAAACAATGATGAAAATATTCTCTACCAGATCCAGTTTCTGGAAATGTCATAATTCAGCAAAGCACATCAGCACACGATTCACTGTCCCTATAGATAGTTCCACTGTCTCTCAAACTATAGAAATATGTGATTACATCGAAACCATTTGAAATCTAAAAGGATTACAGTGTTGTCATCTGTGCACAACAATATATGAAAATACTCCTTTCAGTAATAACATAGATTGATTTCAATATGTTTGAACATTCACCTTTGTAAACACCTCCCAGAAAACTAGCACACTAGGGGAAATATTGCTTCCCTACTATGCTGAGTTTCTATTTGCAAGGAGATTTTCCATGTAGGCTAGTAAAGGTATTTATTTATTTATTTAATTAGTTAGTGACAAAATTTCTACCCCGTCCTTCTCAACCCCCGGGGGAGACTCAGGGTAGCTTACGCTTGGCAACAATTCAATGCCGCAACATACAGACAAATACAATAAATATAACAACAATTTAAAACAATAGATAAAACACTAAATTAAAAACAAATTAAAACATTATTGTAAAACCATATAGCCATTTCCAGTTCAATTCAATATCCAAAGTGCTGTTATGCCTGCTGTCCAAAAGTCTGGTCCCAAAACCATGATTTAAGTTTCTTCCTGAAAGAAAGAAGGGATGAAGCCAACCTAATCTTGCTAGGGAGCGAGTTCCACAGGCGGGGGGCCACAACCGAGAAGGCCCTGTCCCTCGTCCCCACCAAACGCATTTGCGAAGCAGGCGGGACCGAGAGCAGGGCCTCCCCAGATGATCTTAAACTGCGAGGCGGGATGTAGAGGGAGATATGCTCGGACACGTAAAGGTTTTTCCAACATTAAGTCTAGTCGTGTCTGCCTCTGGGGATTGGTGCTCACTCATTTCTAAGCCGAAGAACCGGAGTTGTCCGTAGACCCAAGGTCATATAGCCAGCATGACTGCATGGAGCGCCGTTATCTTTCCGCCAAAGCAGTACCTATTGCTCTACTCACATTTGTATGTTTTCAAACTGCTAAATTGGCAGAAGCTGAGCCTAACAGCAGGAATTCACCCTGCTCCCTGGAGTCACTGCCATGTAAGGTATGGGACAGAAGACCAAGATTTTTTTCTGTCTGCATGATGGTAATGTATGTATGTATGTATTATGTATGCAAGTATGTATGCAGGTCAGTTTTTAGTGTGCTTGTGGAGAAAAAGTTAGGAATAATAATAATAATAATAATAATAATAACAACACCCTGCTTTTCTCCCTCACAGGATCCAAAACAACTTACAATATCTTAAAATCATACAAACAACAGACCATAATACATCAATAATAAATATGAATATCATAAAATAAGCAATTTAAAAACCAAACTATAATATACAGTCACATTTGTGTATCACATCATGTCAGGTTATACTGCACTCTGCTCCAGTAATCATGTTATGAAGTTCTATCTGTCAAGGTTAATTTCCCTCACTGAAAGCCTGTCTAAAGAGGAACATTTTTGTGTGTTGTCGAAGGTTTTCATGGCCGGAATCATTGGGTTGCTGTAAATATTTTGGGTTGTATGGCCATTTTCCAGAAGCATTCTCTCCTGACGTTTTGCCTGCATCTATGGCAAGCATCCTCTGAGGTTGTGAGGTCTCACAACCTCTGAGGATGCCTGCCATAGATGCAGGCGAAATGTCAGAAGAGAATGCTTCTGGAACATGGCCATACTGCTAAAAAAAACTTACAGCAACCCAGGAATGTTTTTAATTGGTTCTTGAGAGAAACAAGGGAGGGAGGTGTTTTAATTTCTTTTGGGAGGGTGTTTCACAAGTTCGAGGCGACCACATAAAATGCCCTCTTCCTCGTCAATGTCAGCCACATTTGCAACGGTGGTGGAAGTGACAGCAGGGCCTCCCCTGAATAACGGGCCAGTTGACATGAAGAGATGTGGTCAGATAAGTAAGTTGGACTTGAACTGTTTAGGGCAGGAGTCAGCCAGATGACAACCCCTCAAATTGTTGGAGGGCCGGATTGTAATTGGAAAAAAATGAATGAATTCCTATGCACACTGCACATACCTTATTTGTAGTACAAAAAACACTTAAAAACAACACAATAATTAAAATGAAGAACAATTTTAACAAATATAAACTTATTAGCATTTTAATAGGAAGTGTGGGCCTGCTTTTGGCTGATGAGATAGGATTGTTGTTGTTGTTGTGTGCTTTCAAGACTTAGGTTGACCCTGAGCGAGGGCTTGCTAAATGACCTTGGAGGGCCGTATCTGGCCCTCGGGCCATAGTTCGAGGACCCCTGGTTTAGCACCTTGAATAGGGCTCAGAAACAAATGTTTCAGTTTTTGAATTGGGTTTGGAAACAAACAGTTTTGAGTCTCCTTGTGGACAAACATAATAATAATATTTGAAGTCAAAGTGAAGTACAGTATTTAGTTCCTGGTCTTTGTATTAATGTGTGGTCAGTGTCATGGATTCATATGGGAATATTTTATCTGTTCAAAACAGTTGATTTTCCACCACCTGGTGGACTATAAGCTATCTATGTTTGCATTTGAAAGAAGGAAAGAATGAAGTCATTTTAAAAGAAAAAAATAAGTCAATGGTTTTAAAAAGTTGCACCAGTGACACAACTTAAGGTACTCTGCACCAAACCCCTAAATTACATGAATTTACCTGTGAAATGTCTTAGTTATAGACAGACATTGAAATACAGGACACTAGAAGCCCTTACTCAGCCTACATGATAGCTGCTGCAGTTTTAGTAGACATTCAGATGTTTATTTTCATCTGGAAAATATACTCTTTTATTCAATGCCTCCAAAACTGTATGTTCCACATCCTTGAACTGTGCATTCAAAATGACCTTGTCTAAAATCTTTCTCATGCTTATGCCATGTGTGGATTTTTGTTAAGTGATTCTTCCAAAATTCTAATTTTAGTTAGGAAGTATGATTGCTTTAAAGATATAAGTTGGTGACAGTTCCAGTTTTGAGAAGGATACGCATTCTAATTGCATGTCTTCTAAAAAAGATGCCTTTTCTATCATATGATTCGAGGCATGTCTCCTCAGAAGTAAGGCCCAATGTATGAACTTCTCAGAGTCAAATGCAGGCAGAAAGTCCCAATCCATGGGGAAAGTGGCCCCAGACCACCTACTAGTTGTAGTTGGTCACTTAAAGGCGAGATCTACACTCGGAATGAGGATTAACTGTATTATATGAATCTACACTGCCATGTAATCCAATTCAATGAAGTTACCATATATACTCAAGTATAAGCAGAGTCTTTCAGCCTTAAAAGGCTGAACCCCCCCCCCAGCTTACACTCCAAAGTTATTTATTATTTTACTCTATTGTTGTTGTTGTTATTATGATTATTATATTCAGAATTTTACTCTATTATTGTTATTATATTTATTATTTTACTCTATTTTATTATTACATTTATTATTTTACTCTATTATTTTCTATTATTTTATTACTGTTATTATTACATTTCCATTATTTTACTCTATTATTTTTATTACATTTATTATTTGACTCTCTTTATTATTATTGGAAGGATACGTAAGCACATTTACACTGAAGGTTCGAATAATGATTTAATCAGAGTTGGAAAGTCTTATCTTAAATTACAGTTTTATGTAAACATTCAAAAACATTTAACCTATTGATGCCCCAATTAATGTAATTTTATTGGTATCTATTTTTATTTTGAAATTTACCAGTAGCTGCTGCATTTCCACCCTCAGCTGATACTCAAGTCAATATGTTTTTCCAGTTTTTTGTGGTAAAATTAGGTGCCTCGGCTTATATTCGGGTTGGCTTATACTTGGGTATATATGGTGATCTGCACTCTTGAAACTGGATTTGTCTCGCAGTGTAGATCCAGCCTAAAACAAAAACTTCCTCCTTCCAAATTATGGGGGATAGGAAGCTGTACCACACTTTCCCCAAATATCATGTCCACAACCACAATCTTTTACTGTATATGTATCTGTATGCTGAATATCTATCTTAGATAGTCCTAACAAAATAGTTCCTTGGTAGTCTAGTATTTTCTGTTTCCATAAAAAAAACAGAACATTTAGAAATCACCTGGAAGAAGGGCACACCGTTGCTTGTCTGAATACAGAGACTGGTATCCAAGAAGGAATTTTCACTGACCAGGCTATCATTCGTCTCTCTTATCTCTTCTTCATCCACAAAGGAACTCTAGGGAACCCAAAAGAGATACATAAGCTTCATCTACAAGTTATATTGGTGCCCAATGGAATATTGAAAGAGCATCACACACATCCAATAATTGTTTTGCAATCTTTAACCACTTCATTTCCATGTGTACACTTTGTATCTCGGTCTATTGTCTCATTTTTGGAAAAGCAATTAGGGCAAGCCCACCTTCCCTCCCCTTTTGGTTGCACAACTACCTGATCCAAGATCTCTGCAGCTCTGAGCTCCAGCTGCTTTTGCCTTAATTTTTCAAGCAAGACATCGCGGGGTTCTGTTTTCACAACTGTCACAGGATAACGATAATCTTTCCTCTGTGGGGTGGTTCCTTGGGAAAAAGAAAACCCAAGCCATTTAAGTGACATCTAAACCAACATTTCCTTGAGAGTAGAAATTCCATTTCAATGTCAAGTGGGTCACCCTCATCCCCACATCTGCACGGTCCATTGCTCCCTGGCAAATAATACCTGTTGGGATGTCTACTTTGAGTTCTTCTCCCACAAATCCATTAACTCGGATTAAGCCATGTTTTGCTTTCATGAGGAGCGTCTCTTTCTGTGTCATAAGCACATTCCTATCATTGGGGATCTTGTCAAGGAGTCCCTTGAGGACAGTCTCTTGAGCATCTTTTTGTCGGTCAACATGGACTGTGAGCTTAGCAACCGATGCACTGCAGTTGTCGTCCAGATTCTGAAAGCAATAGAAACATCTTCAGAAACTAAGATGGGTATTCCAGACAAATGTTTGTTTGGTTGCCTGAAACAGAGGAAGTCTAGGATCTCATTTAACCATTTATGAGCTTTTATCGTTTTTGGAAGCAGACTTAGATGTTTGTGGGACAAAGAAACAGCTCTTTAAGGAAATACACATGTGCAGGGCCCATCTTACTATACTTGCATGATTAGGGATGTATAGCCAGCTTAGGGGAAACAGAAAAAATGTCAATCACGGCGCCTTCCTTGAAGCACAAAGTTCACAAGAATAGCTTTATAAAGCATGGGTATTGGTTTGAGTGTTGAACTATGGCCCCTTCGGCACTGCCATATAAAATCCAGATTATCTGCTTTGATAATCTGGATGGTATGGCAGTGTGGAAGGGGTGTTGGACTCTGGAAGCCAGGATTTGAATACCTGCTAAAGGCCCTTCCACAAAGTCATATAACCCAAAATATCAAGGCAGAATAACCCAAAATATCTGCTGTGAATTGGGTTATTTGTGTCCACCCTGCCATATATAGAATCATAGAGTTGGATGAGACCTCATGGGCCACCCAGTCCAACCCCGTCAAGAAGCCGGAAAATCACATTCAAAGCATATTCCCAGTTCAAAGCAGATGTAAGATTTTATTCAGCTGTGTGGAAGGGGCACTAAATCATGAAATCCTCCTGGTGACCTTGGGCAATTCACACTCTTTCAGCCTCAAACTAACTGTGATAACTTTGCTTTAGGGTAGCCATAAACTGGAAACAACAAATAAGGTTTTAAAGGCTAAGAATTCCCTTCAGTAAGCAAAATGAGCTCTGTACAAGTCAATTGCTCAAACGTATAAGCCTGGTTTCTGTGCCCTTGCCTCAGAAAGCCCAATTATTTCCAAGAATAGCAGGTATCATATGAGTACCTCTTTCACCTCACTTCATTTGAGTTATTTTTCAGTTTCTCTGTTAAACTGTTAAGAGATACTGAGTGAAAGTGGGTGTAGGGAAATGTAAACTGGATCAATGGTTAAAGAAAAAGGAAGAGGGTAACAAAAATCATTCCCCCTTATCATTGGACACCCTTCCATTAACAGGAGTCGTCAAAATATTTACAACTGAAGAAATGGCTTCTCATAGCAGATCACTTGGATGATCCAACCTGGACACAGCATTTTATTTGAGAACACAGAAATGTTGGACCACTCTAACAACCACAATGTCAGACTACACAGAGAAGCCACTGAAATCCACAAGCATGTGGACAATCTCAACAGAAAGGAGGAAACCATGAAAATGAACAAAATCTGGCTACCAGTATTAAAAAAAAACTCTAGAATCAGGACAGTAAATAAAGAGCAACACTCAAAAACAAGGGAACTCCAGACAAGAAACAATCAGGACCTCCCAACAATGGATTCCCCCAAGCAGGAAGAAGCCAGGGTTTGAAGCTGCAAGGCTATTCAAAGCTAATCAAGGTAATCAATTACAACATTCACACATCCCCAAGCACACAAGAGTTCTTTCTCCACAGATATATAAACCTCACTTGCCTAGTTTCCAACAGACCTCACAACCTCTGAGGATGCCAGTCATAGATATTATGGATGAAATGTCAGGAGAAAATGCTTCTGGAACATGGCTATACAGCCCAGAAAACTCACATCAACCCAATGATTCCGACCATGAAAGCCTTTGACAACACATTAAACATAATAAATAGTCTTTACAACCATAACCATACAAGAAAAGAATGCTGGAAACCCAGTGAGCTAATCAAACACCATAATTGAAAACTACCCTCTAAAGATTTGTGGCCTATAAGGAGACAAATAGCAAAATATAGGACCTTTAGATATAGAATATGTGCTCATTTTATATCAAAACTAATTCTGATATCTGCGGCTAAGAATAATATGAATAGACAATGAAGATGTGATGAGAACGGAGAAGACTAAGTTGAAGGTGTTGAAAGAATATCACTGCTTTACTATTATGTGTTTAAATTGATAGCGTACTGTTACTGTTTACTCATAGATTTGTCTCCTGTGTAATTAATAAACACGATTTTTTTTTAAAAAAAGACAAAATTTGTGGTGCAAGCATATACTTGCAATGAAAAAACGGTAAGGCAAGCCCATGATTGCAGTGCATCATAAAAGAAAACCAAGCCACAAAAGTCAAAAGCAGTAACTGGCTCTAATTAATAATAATAATCATCATCATCATCATCTATATAAATAAAAATGTAATGTTTGTTTGTGGGATTAACATAACTCAAAAACCACTGGACAAACAGACACCAAATTTGGACACAAAACACTTATTAGGCCAACGAGTGACCATCACTCTTAAAAGCAGTCTGGCTCAAACACTAAAAAACACAGCAGAGGAGACTTAAAAAGCAAAAAACCCAAAATTACAGGGAACGGCTAGTAATAATAATAATAATCATCATCATCATAATTTTATCTGTCTCTCCACGAAGGCACAACAGCTAAAAACTGATTACACTATGTAACACGATTTTTGTTCCTGGGTTATAAATGTCATTTCCTAATTGGTTCTATCATAAAAACATGGAAAAAGTTTATCAAATCTTTGCTTTTGCGGGATGGATTATCCTACAACACATTTTGCTATAGTTTTTCAATAGATACCTCATCAAGTCTCAACCAATTCAACATTGTTTGTGGCAGCCACAAAAACTAAGTTTCTGGCGTATAACAACTACTTCCAAAGCAAGTACCGCAGAATGAAAAAGGAAATAACACTTTCAAACCAGGAACAGAAGATTTTTCAAATTTTGTTGCATACTGTTATGCTAGTTAAAGATGATAGGAAGTGTAGTTCAGCGCCACCTGGAGAGCCATGAGTTACCTGCATCTAGTCTACAGATTAACTTCCATGTGTCAACAATCAGATTTACCTTGCAAATCCTTTGTAGGTATTCCTTCTGGCTGGTGAGAAAGGCACTCTGTTGATCAGCTATACGCATTATTTTTGATGTTGCAGTTTCACCCCAGCTTTCTGTTTCTTGGCAGACACGGTCCAGACTCTTACCAAAGTCTTCGCAGTGACTAGTTGACTGCAACAGTATCTTAACGTTTTCACTGCTGGACTGCCTGATCTCTTGAGAAAAGTCATCCAGAGGCAGGGTCAATATACTGTGCCGTGATGCTGCAGATGTGGAAAGGTCTGTCGTTTGCCTGGATGTGGTAGGCATTTAGTAACAGATTAGACCTAAGTGTTTAACCAAGAGACATTTCAGCTGCCCACCCCTTTTAACCAGCAGGTGTAAACCTTTCCTACAGTTTAAATAAAAATAATACATAAAAACTTTATTTGTACCCTCACCACCATCTCCCCTATTACAATCCCTAATATCTCTCTCTGAGTAAATATATATTTCAATGTATTATGTTTTGAAAACTCATGTATGAATCAGGAAAAAATACTTTAAAAAGAGATTTCCAAAGGAGTACAATGGTGTAAATGTGCACCTTATGAGCAACTGGCACGATAATAATAATAATAAAACTTTATTTGTACCCCGCTACCATCTTCCCAAGGGACTTGGTGCAGCTTACATGAGGTCAAGCCCACAGGACATGAATAAACAAAAGCGATAACAGATGATCAATACAAAACAGTTAAAATAAAAACTCAAAAACAAAAATACACAACAAGCAATAAACAATAACAATAACAAACAGCATTTAAAAACCTATGGTGGGGCCGAATGTAATAATTAAAATTAAAATTTAAAATGCTGGGCATAAACAAGGTAGGGTAAACTAGGATAGGGTTTTCAAAGAAAGATAAGGGCGCGCAGACAATCCTAAGTCAATATTAAAGTGCATTTGAGGACATATTGCTAAGAGTTTTCCTTATTCTGGGAAGGCACATTGGAACAACCACATTTTCAGGCTCCTCCTAAAGACTGCCAGCGTTGGGGCATGTCTGATGTCCTTAGGGAGTGAATTCCAGAGTCGAGGGGCCACCACCGAGAAGGCCCTCTCCCTCGTTCCCACCAATCGCACCTGCAAAGGAGGTGGGAGCGTGAGCAGGGCCTCTCCAGATGATTGAAGAGATCATGTGGGTTCGTACACAGAAATGTGGTCACGCAGGTAGGCGGGTCCCAAACCATTCCGGGCTTTTGGTGGGGACAAGGGAGAGGGCCTTCTCAGTGGTGGCCCCCCAACTCTGGAACTCACTTCCCAAGGGCATCAGACATGCCCCAACTCTGACAGTCTTCAGGAGCCCGAAAACGTGGTTGTTCCAGTGTGCCTTCCCAGAATAAGGAAAATCCTCAGCAATATGCTCTCAAAATGCACTTTACCATTGATTTAAGACAGACTGTGTTCCCTCATCTCTCTTTGGAAACCCTATCCCTTGTTCATGCCCAGCATGATTTTTAAATTTTAAGTTATTACATTTGGCCTGGCCATAAGCTTTTAAATGTTGTGTGTTATTCTTTATTGCTTATTTTTGTTTATGTGATTTATATTAATTGTACTGTATTGATTGCTTTTGTTAATTGCTTTTGTTTACTGATGTACTGTGGGCTTGGCCTCATGTAAGCCGCACCAAGTCCCTTGTGGAGATGGTAGCGGGGTATAAATAAAGTTGTTATTATTATTATTATTATTATTATTATTATTATTATTATTATTATTATCTGCTGTAGTGCAACAGTGGAGAAGCAGTTGTCCTGAGTGCAATGATGTCAAAAGAGTGAAAGCAAATAGAAGCAAATCCACCTTATCACATAGGGAAAGCTCATATCAAAGGAAGTATCATCCAAATAGTTACAGTTAAGATATAGTAAATGTAAAGGTTTCCCCTATTATTAAGTCTTTTCATGCCCAACTCTTGGGGTTGGTGCTCATCTCCATTCCTAAGACGAAAAGCCAGCGTTGTCCATAGACACCTCCAAGGTCATGCGACCAGCATGACTGAATGGAGCGCCGTTACCTTCCCACAGAAGTGGTACCCTTCAGGGTATAGAAAGGCAGGCTATAAATATAGTAAATAAAACATAGTATCTATTGATTTACTCACATGTGCATGTTTTTGAACTGCTAGATTGGCAGAAGCTGGGGCTAACATTGGAAGCTCACCCCGCTCCCAGGATTTAACCTGCTGTGCCACCAAAGGCCCCCAAATTCATTGAGATATAAACACCATGAAATTCAGTGGGGTGTGCTCCCCAGTAAGTATACAGGATTGTAGCTTTAGAAAGTGGGTTAATATCAATTTGTTTTGGTGCTTCCACTTCAGCATTCGTATCAGAGGAGGACTATCGGATGTAATAACATTTCAGTTTTATGTCTTTGTTGTAAACTAACTTAATATCTATATCCACACACAAACACTTTTAAGGTAGTGTTTATTGTTAACTATTGTCAAGTTAAAGCATTAAAGTGTTTTAAACAGAATGCATGAGTTCAAGGCTGCAAAAATATGCCAGGCAGTCAGAGTACTCCTACCATTTTACAATAGTATGGAAGTAAACTTGACTTTATTTTAAAAAATGATTAGCACCCCCAATTCTAATTCATTTTGAATTTCACATAAATCACAACAAATGGATGCAAGGCTGAAGGAAAATGAGTAAAATAAACAAATGGACCAAGAGTGACTGAACATTGCATTCATCTATAATAGGATGTTCATAATTTTAAATGGAAATCTCAAATATTCAAAAGGCTCCTGGCAACTTGAACAAGTAGATACAGATTATTTCACAAGGCAAGTCTGCAGGAAGTTTGAAAGATGTTTAGAAGAGAAGCAAGTTGAGTTTCCTTACAGAGTTATGTTGTCTTGTACAGCGAATACATTCTGCTTTAGTCTTCGACTTTTCTCTAGAACATCACTCAGATTCAGCTGAGTTTCTTGCTCGTGCAAACTCAATTGGTCTTTTAGAGAAGAAATCAGCTGGGCTGTACCCTAGTGTAAATGAAAAATAAAGAGATTTCAAATAAATCAGCAAAAATTAGTAAAGTTGAAAACTTTAATCATAAAGTGGGCAACCTGTGTACTACAGTGATTAAAGCTGGCTTTAAAAGAGTTGCAGAGCAATAGATTCAGTTCTCACCAGTGAACTACATGGTGCCATCTTCTATCTATATAGATAAAAATGTAATGTTCATTTGTGATACCATCAGAACTCAAAAACTACTGGGGGAATTGGCACCTAATTTGGACACGATACACCTAAAAGTCCAATTTATGTCCTCCACTCAAAAAAAACCCCCAAAGAAACCCCAAAAATCCACACAAGGGAAGAGCTGCCGTTACAGCATTGAGAGCCAAGTGCGTGCGCACGCACAGCCATATAAACGGAACTGGCACAGCAGGCAGCACCGAGCTTCCTCCCTCACAGCAGCATACTTGGGAGCCTATCCCGCACACATGGCCACACACATACACACAACTTCGCTTTCCCCTTGGTAGAGAGAGAGAGAGAGAGAGACAGCTTTGTCCATAGACACCTCCAAAGTCATGTGACCACTGGCATGACTGCATGGAGCGCCCTTACCTTCCTGCCAGAGTGGTCTACTCACATTTGCATGTACTCACATTTACTCTACTCACATTTGCATGTTTTTGAACTGCTATATGAATTGAAAATCATTCTATCTATCTTTTACAACTTGGTAACATACACATGTTGGCAGAGCAACAGTGAGTGCATATGGGTGTGTGAAGTTGTGAAAATATAGTGGAATTAATGCACATGCAAGATCATCCCCACAATAACCCTTCAAGACATGCACTCCAGCAGAGCCACTTATTTCCTGCGTGACTGTGTGTATTTGAGGGGAGAGTTGAGGAAATATAGTAAAATTAACATCCATGTAGGTATTCTCCACAACTTCCTTTCAACATAGACATTGCCATATTATCCACACCCATATGTGTATGCGTATGTGTGTGCATGCACTATATCTCCTCTGAAAGAAAGGAGAGAAAGAGGAAGGGAAGGTTGCCCTCCCTTGGACACATTCCAGCTTGTCAATATCTCTCTTCAATTGTGGTGCCCAGAACTGGACACAATATTCCAGGTATGGTCTAACCAAGGCAGAATAGAGGGGTAGCATGACTTCCCTGGATCTGGACACTATACTCCTATTGATGCAGGCCAAAATCCCATTACCTTTTTTTGACGCCGCATCACATTGTTGGCTCATGTTTAACTTGATGTCCACGAGGACTCCAAGGCCTTTTTCACACGAGCCAGGCATCGTCCCCCATTCTGTATCTTTGTATTTCATTTTCCTGCCTAAGTGGAGTGTCTTGCATTTGTCCCTGTTGAACTTCATCTTGTTAGATTTGGCCCAACTCTTTAATCTGTTAAGATCGTTTTGAATTCTGCTCCTGTCTTCTGGAGTATTATGGTTTTTATAATTGAATGTTTTTAACTGTACTTTGTGAATGTATGGCATCGAATTCTGCTAATTTCTGTAAGCTGACTTGAATCACCGTAAGGCTGAGCAAGGCGGGCTACAAATGCCATAAAATAAAAATAAATAAAAAGTATTAGCTATCCCTCCCAATTTGGTGTCGTCTGCAAACTTGATGATCATGCCTTCAAACTCTTAATCTAAGTCATTAATAAAGATGTTATACAGAACGGGGCCCAGGTCAGAACCCTGCTTATGGCACCCCACTCGTCACTTCTTTCCAGGATGAAGAGGAAACATCGGGGAGAATTGCCTTCAGGGTGGAGCCCCCAGAGGGATTAAACCCTTGTGCAGACAGAACTGAAGACCTACAGGTTGTAGGTTTGAATCTGGGGAGAGGGCAGATGAGCTCCCTCTGTCAGTTCCAGCTCCCCATGTGGGGACATGAGAGAAGCTTCCCACAAACATGGTAAAAACATCAAAACATCCAGGCATCCCCTGGGCAATGTCCTTACAGATGGCCAACTCTCTCACACCAGAAGCAACAGTTTCTCAAATCACTCCTGACACACACACACACACACACACACACACAACCTCTCAGAGTTTGGTCACCTAACCAATTGCAGATCCACCTAACCGTAGTTTTGCCTAGCCCACATTTAACTAGTCTGTTTGCCAGAAGGTCATGGGGAACCTTGTCGAAGGCCTTACTGAAATCCAGATACACTACATCCATGGCGTTCCCTGCGTCTACCCAGCCTGTACCACTATCGAAAAAGAGATCAGATTAGTCTGGTATGACTTGTTTTTATAAATCTATGTTGACTATTAGCAACGACCGCATACGTTTCTAAGTCATGTCATTAATCCATCAGCACCGTTTATTTTACTTCACCCGGTCTATTCCTTGCTGTGCTCTGAAAAGAGAACATACCTTTTTTTGTGCCAGTTTGGCTAACTCCACCTGTTTCTCCAAGTGCTCATAATCCTGCTGAAACTGAGAAAACATCCTGGAAGTGTCTTCTTGCAGTTTACTCAAAGCAAGAGAGTGGCCTTGGAAGAAGGCAGACATTTCTTCTTTATAGTCTGTAATCTTTAAATTAGATATAGAAAAAAGTCAGTACAATTACATTTTGCTGACTTTTTAAAAGCTACCATAAATCTGTTATGTATTAGAGGTGGTACCAGCTCATGAAGCAAAATGAGACATTCAATTACCTTCTGTGGCTATCTGAAGTAAAAAAAAATGTCCTCATGTTCACTGGGGTAAACTAAGGCACATGGAGTTCAGCTTTTAAAGTTACCTTTTCAGCCAGGGATGTTTGTTTCTTCAAGTTATTCTGGAGTTCAGCATTTAGATTCAATACAAATTTCACTATGGGCGACAGACTACTGAGTGCTCGGTTCAATCCAGATGCATGTTCTTCCTAGAAGCAAGAGAACTGATTGAGAGATCAGTCGCTTTTTCTACGTTTGAATTAGATGATTCTCCCATGTAGAATTGGCAGCCATTAGCTCTTTGAATAAAGGTCAAAGACAATCACTAGCCCACCTACTATAACTTGAATATTGAAATATGATTATGTATCATATATACTTGAGTATAAGATGACCCGAATATAAGACGAGGCACCTAATTTTAGGGAAAAAATAGGGAAAACATATTGACTCGAGTATAAGCTGAGAGTGGGAAATTTGGCAGCTTCTGGCAAATTTCAAAATAAAAATAGATACCAATAAAATTACATTAATTGAGACATCAGTAGGTTTGATGTTTTCGAATATTCAAATAAAACTGTAATTTAAGATAAGATTGTCCAACTCTGATTAAACCATTATTCTAACTTAATTCAACGTAATGTGCTTATGTACCCTTCCAATAATAATGAATAAAATAATATATATAATATATATAATGAGTAATAATAATAATAAGAGTAAAATAATGGAAATGTAAAAGTAACAGTAATAAGAGTAAAATAATAAACGCCATATTAATTTTAATATTTATACATTATTTTATTACCCGTGCTTCCTTACCCGCCTCCCGGCCCATCCCAAGGGCGTCTGTCTGCCTCCCTGGCCTCCGCAGAGCCTCTGGAGCCATGCAGGCAGCAGCAGACCAGGGAGGCAGGCCTTCCCTGCCGCGCCTCAGGCCGCTGCACTTCCGGGGTCCCTGGCTTCCATTGGACATAAATATTTAATATTTTTTATTAATATTTTTTAAAACCTGCAAAACAGAGTCCGCTAAAAGCGAACTGCGAAGAAGCGAGGGAACACAGTAATAAAGTAAAATAACAAATGTAATTAGGTGCATCGGCTAATATTTGGGTCAGCTTATACTCGACTATATATAGTATTTAGATTTTTTGTTTTTGCTCTTATAAGCTTATTCTGAACAGTGATACCTGAGAGTCTAAGGAGTTTGTTCTTTTACCAAATCAAGGCTAAACCAGCTCCAGCCTAGCTGTCAGGCAGAGCTTTATTTGAACATGCATAGGTCTTTCAGCCCCAGTTAGGAATGTCAGCAGCTGTCATATTTCAGGTAGACTTTCCTAGTCAAAAGAGTTATTCTGTCATTTGAATGCCTATAGCCTTTATACTTACAATCACTTTTTGCAAGCCAATTCTATTCTGAGATGTCAGTGACTCCTGCTTTAGTATCGCTTCAGAAGTTTGGGAAACCTCAGCAGAAACCATTTCTTTTACTGAGTTGAATGCTGCATCTATAACTGCTGCAGTAACTCCAAAAGCCGAGGAGCCGGCAGAAAGAAGATCACCTGCCATGACAAAGATGAGCACCGTTGTTTAATTGAGTTTCTTTTCATATGCCTTAAGAATCTCACGCTTACACTAGATTTAGTTTTACAAAAAGGGCTTTCTTTGGATTATTGCACATGCAGTTAATCAGACATACTTACCAACTGAAAAGGCGTAGTAGTCTAGAATCTGCTGCTGTTTACAATAGTTCTCCTTAACAGAGTTCTGCATTTCCCCAAAGAGAGCATTCATGTGCTCTGTAAATGTCTTTTGGGCTTCTGCATTATTCTGCTCAACAGCTTTTTTGCGGTCTATTTTTGCATGCAGACCGGACACATCTTTAGTCGTCTCTTCAACTGTACTAAGCAACTAAGACAAAAAGATAATGCCATTTGTCAGTTAGCATGAATCAGATTACCAAAAAGGAGAAGATCATTGAAACCACATTCAATCTGAACACAGGAGGAACAATTCTAAATGATGGAAGGGTTAGCTTTTTGATGATACCAGACACTTAAATAATTTAGGAGTGAGCTAAGTCTCTTTTCTTCTTGGAAAAGAGACTTCCAGTTTGCCAGTTTAACAGTCTTTTGCAAGGGAATGTTTTTATTTCAATTCCATAAAACAAGGAACCTAAAGTATGAATAATCCTAATCACACATTGCTTGCCATGCATCAAAGGCAAAAAGAGTCTACTTTGCGGGTCCTGCCAACACTGCAAACATCAATCAGTCTTGCTCACCTCTCCATATCGAGCACAGATGTTTGAATAGCAATACCTGTCTATGATCAGCTGCTCATATCTAGCAGTTGCATCCACACAATACAGAGCCCTGATTGCATAGGACCCCTCTATCTGAGTAGCTCAAAGCACAAACATTAATGTAGTGTCCAGCCCATGGACATAGGGTGAGGGCAGAGCAGGAATTTGCTCCATGTGTCCTCTGATGCACAAATGCTCCACATTTGTGGAAAACACGGTCAGCTTCATAACTAAGAGGCAACAACTGCTTGGGCACTTGAGCTTCCAGTAATTTTCTATTAACTACGAAGTCTGACTTGAATTTAAATTCAGCCTTTTGGCATAATTGGCATCAAAAACCTGGCTCTCTAGACCAGGGGTCCCCAAACTTTTTGAACAGAGGGCCGGGTCGCAGTCCCACAAACTGTTGGGGGGCCGGATTATAATTTGAAAAAAAAAATGAATGAATTCCTATGCACTCTGCACATATATTATTTGCAGTGCAACCCCCCCCCCCCAAATCAAAAAAACAAAGACCCACACTTCTATATAAATAAAAATGTAATGTTCGTTTGTGGGATTAACAGAACTCAAAAACCACTGGACGAATTGACACCAATTTTAGACACAAGACACCTAACAAACCAATGTATGTCCTTCACACAAAAAATGATTTTGTCATTTGGGAGTTGTAGTTGCTGGGATTTATAGTTCACCTACAATCAAAGAGTATTCTGAACCCCACCAACGATGGAATTGAACCAAACTTGGCACACATTTCTCCCACAACCAACTGAAAATAGTGGAAGGGTTTGGTGGGCAGTGTCCTTTGGTTTTGGAGTTGTAGTTCACCTACATTCAGAGATCATTGTGGACACAAACAATGATGGATCGGGATCAAACTTGGCACAAATACTCAATATGCCCAAATGTGAACACTGGTGGAGTTTGGGGGAAAATAGAATTGACATTTGGGAGTTGTAGTTGCTGGGATTTATAGTTCACCTACAATCAAAGAGCATTCTGAACCCACCAACGATGGAATTGAACCAAACTTGGCACACAGTTCTCCCATGACCAACAGAAAATACTGGAAGGGTTTGGTGGGCAGTGTCCTTTGGTTTTGGAGTTGTAGTTCACCTGCCTCCATCAATCACTGTGGACTCAATGATAGATCTGGACCAAACTTGGCACTGATATTCCATATGCCCAAATGTGAACACTTGTGGAGTATGGGGAAAATAGAATCTTGACGTTTGAGAGTTGTAGTTGCTGGGATTTATAGTTCACCTACAATCAAAGAGCATTCTGAACCCCACCAACGATGGAATTGAACCAAACTTGGCACACTGTTCTCCCATGACCAGCAGAAAATACTGGAAGGGTTTGGTGGGCAGTGTCCTTTGGTTTTGGAGTTGCAGTTCACCTGCCACCATCAATCACTGTGGACTCAATGATAAATCTGGACCAAACTTGGCACTGATATTCCGTATGCCCAAATGGGAACACTTGTGGAGTACGGGGGAAATAGAATCTTGACGTTTGGGAGTTGTAGTCTCCAAGGAGGCAGGTAAACTACAAAAGGCTTCTCCTTCCTACATGAGCAGAGCGGCCAGAGCAGAGAGTTCCCGCGATGGGCGGAGCGGCGCCGGGTGGCCGTGGCCAGGCCAGGCCTCGCGGGCCGGAGAAATGCCCTCGGCGGGCCGCATACGGCCCACGGGCCGTAGTTTGGGGACCCCTGCTCTAGACCTAAACATCACCAAGAACTCAGAAACAAAATAGACATAAAGGATTCACAGTATTTTGGTCTTTGTAAAGCTAGATCATGATATGCATGAAAGAGTATCTGTAAGGACAAAGCTTTGGGCTAATGTATTTTTTGCTCCAAGCAAATTCAGAATGGAAAAACAAACTGCAGTAGAGTAAAAGTGAAAATCAACAGGGTGCCAAAACTTGAAATCCACCAGTTGCCATCTCCCCTAAACCTGAAAGAACTCAGAGAAGCTATTAAACTGGCAGAGCACCTGGTCTAGCTGACCTGATGATGGAGCAAATCAAACACTTGGGCCTCATGAAGCCAGATGAAAACTGGCTTTTGAAATTTTACAATTAATGCTTGGCACGCAAACAGATTCCCAGACTATGGAGGAAAACTAAGATCATTGCCATTTTAAAACCTGGTAAAGACACCTCCAATGCCAGGAACTACCGACCAATCTCTCTCTTATGTCATCTATATAAAGTGGAGCCCCCGGTGGTGCAGTGGATTAAACCCCTGTGCCGGCAGGACTGAAGACCAACAGGCCGCAGGCTCGAATCCGGGGAGAGCGTGGATGAGCTCCCTCTATCAGCTCCAGCTCCTCATGCGGGGACATGAGAGAAGCCTCCAACAAGGATGATAAAACATCAAATCATCTGAGCGTCCCCTGTGCAATGTTCTTGCAGACGGCCAATCTCTCACACCAGAAGCGACTTGCAGTTTCTCAAGTCGCTCCTGACACGACAAAAAAAAATTGATATAAAGTATAGAGAATGCTATTAAATCAATTTGGACTTGTTATTGAACCCAAGCTTATTGCACAACAAGCAGGTTTCAGACCAGGGAAAAACTTTACAGCCCAAATTTTTAATCTGACTGAGTATATCAAGTAAGGATATTAGAAAGGTTGCATAACAGGAACAGTTTTTTGTAGACCTTACAGCAGCCTATGACACTGTGCAAAATAGGAAAATACTGCATAAATTCTACCATAATACCCGGGTCTATGATTTTACAAAAATTGTCCAGACCCTCCTAAAAAACCGCAGCTTCTATGTGGGGTTTCAAAGCAGGAAAAGAAAGGTTTACCCCAAGGCAACGTTCTTGAACCAACCTTAACATCTTTATTAATAATCAGCCACAGCCACCACTCACAAAGAGCTTTCTAAATGCTGATGACCTTGGCCTAACAACACAAGCAAAATACTTTGAAATAGTCGAAAACCAAACCCTAATGCCCTGAAAGATCTCTCCAGATATACAAAGATCTACTACAAAGATCTAGCTACTACCCTAAGCCTAATCCTGCCAACACACAAATGAGTACTTTCCACCTATGGAACCGTGAAGACAACAGGAAAGTGAAAGTTACCTGGAAGGTCAAGAGCTTGAACACTGCTTCCATCCTAAATATCTCGGTGTGTCACTTTAGATCGAACACTAATATATAGGAAACTCTGTAAAAACAGCAAGCACAAAGTAGCTGCACGCAATAACATCCCGCAGAAACTTACTGGCAGAGCATGGGATGCAGACCCAAAATTAATAAGAACATCAGCCTTGGCTTTGTCTGACTCAACTGTCAAGTATGCCTGCCCTGTTTGGCAGAAGTTTGCCCACACGAAGAAGGTGAACGAAACATGCAGAATAATCACAGGATGCCTCAAACCTAAGCCTGTTGATACTCTACAAGCTAACTGGCACTGCCCCCCTGATGTGCGTCAGGAAGTTGCTGCTAATAGAAATAAAATCGAACACTGTGAAAGCCATCCACTGCATGGCTAGCAGCCACCACTCTTCTTAACATTCCCCCTCTGGGCAGCTAAACCAGGAAATCCCAACTGAATGGCTCCCCACGAGGATCTGTCTCCAAGGGCAAACCAAGAAGGGGCAACCTGGAAATTCCTGAACAGACTCAGAAGTAAAGTGGGCAGATCAAAAGACAATCTGGAAAAATGGCACTACCTAGAACAGTGGTTCTCAACCTCCCTAATGCTGCGACCCCTTAATACAGTGGTGACCCCCAACCATAACATTATTTTCGTTACTACTTCAGAATTGTAATTTGGCTACTGTTGTGAATTGTGATGTAAATATCTGATATGCAGGATGTATTTTCATTCACTGGACTAAATTTGGATTGATTTTGTCATTTGAGAGTTGTAGTTGCTGAGATTTATAGTTCACCTACAGTCAAAGAGCATTCTGAACTCTACCAGTGATGAAATTGAACCAAACTTGGCACACAGGCCTCCCATAACCAACAGAAAATACTGGAAGGGGCTGGTGGGCATTGAATTTGAGTTTTGGAGTTGTAGTTCACCTACATCCAAGGGGCCCTGTGGACTCAAACAATGATGGATCTTGACCAAAATTGGCATGGATACTCAGTATAGTATGCCCAGATGTGAACACTGGTGGTATTTGGGGAAAATAGACCTTGACATTTGGAAGTTGTAGTTGCTGGGATTTATAGTTCGCCTACAATAAATGAGCATTCTGAACCCCACCAACGATAGAATTGGGCCAAACTTCCCACACAGAGCCCCCATGTCCAACAGAAAAAACTTTGTTTTCTGATGGTCTTTGTCAACCCCTCTGACACCCCCTTGCGACCTCCACTGGGGTCCCGACCCCCAGGTTGAGAAACGCTGTTCTAGAAGAATCCCCCACCTTGTGCGACTGTGGAGCAGAACAAACAACTCCGCATCTGTATGCTTGCCCACAATGTCCTGCCTCGTGAACAGAGGAAGAATTGTTTAAAGCTACAGACAATGTGGTCACTGTAGCCTAGTTTTAGTCAAAAGATATTTAGTCACTTGTGCTCCATCCATTTTTTATCATTTTATACTTATTTATGCAATGCTTTAGATACAAAATAAATAAATAACTCCAAGGTTTAAATTTGCTGGTTTAGGAATTGCCCAAAGCATTAAATCATAATTTTGTGTTAATGTCAATATTGCCATTGTATGGGTTAATTCCATGCAAGACACAAATGAGAGCACAAGGTATCACTCAGAAGGCTTTCTAAACATTGTCTCCACAAGACGGATGGCACAGGTTCTCTCCCATAGGATATCCCTTTTCTCTTTAGAAAGATACAAATTACTCTCACATAAACAGATAACATTAATGGTCTGATCTTAGCATAAGTTATAGTCCAGGTACTGTAACCATATTAACCATGCTAATGCGGGGGGAAATCTAGGGTGATGAACTGGACAACCTTGGTAGCAGTGCCATGAAGTTTTTCTTCTGTGTTCTCCAAATTGGATGCTATATATTGTTCTTCAGAAAGACGGACTTTGGTTATTTCCAAGTGCTTCTGTGTGTCCTGCAGTTCCTTTTCTCTGACCCGTAGGTCTGTTTGACACCTTTCCATTTCATCTTTTTGAACTGTGAATAACTCCGTGATCTATATTAAGCATAATAAAAAACAGTCAATATGAACTTTAAAATTGGCATCTCTATTAGTTAAGAGTGATACCAAAAATACAAATCTTTATCATGACACGTAATATTACTCTTTCTTTACTTTTCTGAAAAGCAGTGGAAAGGATAAGAACAGTTAGTTGAGTTCACTTACTCTTTTCAGATTTTCCTCCATTGCAGCAATTTTATCCACATACTCTGCAATTTGTTCCTCCTGAGCTGTCAGCTTCACATGAAGAGAACTTAAAAACACACATAATGAACCGTGAATAAATTATCTTGTTGTGTTTAAAGCAACCAGGTATTTGTTAAGAGAAAAGCAAAAATAAATAAATAACTTGTTTGACAGTAAGATTTTCTATTTTGTTTCTATCATATTATGATTAAAGAGTTTCTTATACTGCCAGCTTCATCTTTGTTTCAACTTTATCTGTAGACAACTTGTGTGTGTATGCCTTTAACTTGCCTGTTGATGTATGGTGGACCTATGCATTTTAGAGTGCTTTTTTTAAGGCAAAAAATACTCACCAGGATTAACATCCAAAAAGGGGGGGGGGGTAGATTTTGGCCTGCATAAATAGGAGTCTAGTGTCTAGATCCAGGGAAGTCATGCTACCCCTCTATTCTGCCTTGGTTAGACCACACCTGGAATCACAGTGTTCAATTCTGGGTACCGCAATTTGCTGACAAGCTAGAATGTGTCCAGAGGAGGGCGACCAAAATGATCAAGGATCTGGAGAACAAGCCCTGTGAGGAATGGCTTAAAGAGCTGGTATGTTTAGCCTGCAGAAGAGAAGGCTGAGAGGATACATGATAGCCCTGTGTAAACATGAAAGGGGAAGTCATAGGGAGGAGGGAGAAACCTTGTTTTCTGCTGCCCTGGAAACTAGGACGCAAAAGAATGGCTTCAAACTACAGGAAAGGAGATTCCACCTGAACATTGGGAAGAACTTCCTGACTGTGAGAGCTGATCAGCATTGGAACTTTCTGCCCTGGAATATGGTGGTATCTCCTTCTTTGGAGGCTTTTAAGCAGAGGCTGGATGGCCATCTGTCCGGGGTGCTTTGAATGCGATTTTCTTGCATCTTGGCAGGGGGTTGGACTGGATGACCATGATTCTTTGAAAGGTGTGCTTTTTCCCTCTCCTTCCTATTCTGGAGCCAGAAAAACAGGTTGGGATGCCGAGATATTCCTATTTGAATGCCACCAACTAGTGCCTTTCAATTAGTCATTCACTCACTGGCCTTTTCAGAAAAGGTTGGCTAGTGGAGAACAATGCAATTTGCCCAATATTTATTTACTATTTTTATACCCCTCCCTCTCTCAACCTGAAGGGGATTCAAAGCGGCTTACAAGTTATATGTATATACAATATTATATTATTTGCATAGCACAATATTAGTATTATGTATTACTTTATTATACTATACCACTATACTGCAATATTATTAGTATTACATGCGATATAGAATATATAATTATGATAGTGTTATATTGTATTACAATATTATGATCAATATTATATGTACATACAATATACTACATAGCATAGCACAATATTAGCATTATATATTACTATATTGTACTACACCACTATATTGCAATATTATTAGTAATATTACATTAAATATATTATAACAATTATATCTTCATTGCTCAATAGAGGCTAGAACTACACTGCCATATAATCCAGATTATCAAAGCAAGTAATCCAGATTATCTGCTTTGAATTGGATTATGAGTCTACACTGCCATACAATCCAATTCAAAGCAGATAGGCTGGATTTTATATGGCAGCATAGGAAGTGTCTGAGACTTGGCTTGATGGCATACTTCAGATTAAGATCCTTATCTGAGGAAATGCAACAATTTCTATAAACTGCCCCGTTTCATAGGTATTGAAATACTCACTCATAGTTTTCCAGAGAAATATAGACACCATGTTTCTCTCGTGCTGCAGTAAGATCCCTTTTTAAGCGTTCGATCTCTTCTGTATACTCCTGTTAAAATATCAATACAGCACACAGATGTATCAACTGAGTGACTGGTATTAGCAAATGTCATAACCCAACAATGCATGCTGTAAGTAACTGAAATGCAGCAAAGAAGATTTAAAGGGAACTTATCCTTGTTAAGATACTCAACCTTGATGAGTGCTCGTTTAGTGAGTTTCTGATTCACTTCAGGCTTGTTCATGATATTCTTGGCTCTATGAGCATATTCAAGAGTACTCAGAGTTTCCTATTGCACAAGAGGAAGGAAAGTGATCAACGAACATGATTTTATGTGACTGTTTCCATACTTCTATCAAAAAAATGCAACTGTGCTCATCAAAAGGGATGCCCTCAATATTCACTTTCAAAAGGGAGGCCTGCATTTCCTGCACATCACAACCTCTGAGGATGCTTGCCATAGATGCAGGCGAAATGTCAGGAGAGAATGCTTCTAGAACAGGGGTCCTTAAACTAAGGTTCGGCAGCTGGATACAGCCCTCCAAGGTCACTTACCTGGCCCTCACTCAGGATCAAACTAAGTCTGAAACGACTTGAAAGCACACAACAATAACAACAATCCTATCTTATCAGTCAAAAGCAGACCCACAGTTCACATTTAAATACTAATAAGTTTAAATCTGGTAAGATTGTTCTTCATTTTAATTAACGTATTGTTTTGAAGTGTTTTTTGCAAGTGTACATAGGAATTCATATTTTTTTCAAATTATAATCCTTCCCTCCAACAGTTTGAGGGACTGTGACCTGGCCCTCTGTTTAAAAAGTTTGAGGACCCCTGTTCTAGAACATGACCATACAGCCTAAAAAACCAACAAGAACCCAGTGATTCCGGCCTTGAAAGCCTTTGACAGAAACCATATTAAAAGCAGCTATGAACTCTCTATTTCTAACTGCTTGGCTTTAGGGTCCTCAGCAATGAAGCATTTGAGGAGGGATGGCTTGGACAACAGGGAAGGTGATTGCATTGGTCATCCTCGCCAAAGAGCCTTGGATTGGAGGCCAAACCTGAGTCTGCTCCTTAATTAAAGGAAAGCATTTTTTTTAAAAAAATAGTCTAATTACCTCATTAACCATTACAGTCCTGACCAAAACCCCATCTCTGTTTACTGCCAATGCAATTTACAAGCCTCCAGACAACCTTACTGCATTGACTTATGATTTCTAGCACACAACCAGCTATGCCATAGTCTGCCTCCACTTAAGGCCTTCACATTGCTAGAATAAGTGTGACTTCTTAAGCCAAGGACAACAGCTATTTTGAAAATAAGCATCTCACCTCAAGATTAATTGAGGCAGGGGAAATGGTTGCAATTATGCATGTTTTCGTGCGTCCTCCAAGAGAGTCCTGAAGAATACGCGTTAGCTTGGATTCTCTGTATGGAATGTGCGGCGCTCTTTCCACAAGTGCAGTAATGACTCTCCCCAGAGTCAAAAGAGACTGGTTAATATTCCCGGCTTCACGAGCCCTTTTGTCAACTGCTCCAGAACGACCAATGTTTTCACTTCCCGCCAGATCAACCTATGAACAAAAAATGTGACCATCTCCATAAATTGCTATATTTGTTGCAGGAACCGATCAGTTTGGTCTGGTTTTGGCAGATAAACATTATTTCTTCCAGGCAAGCAGCGTATAGTGTAATGCAATATAATAATAATAACATGATATTATAACTATATATTTATATTACATGTAATATTACTAATATTACAATATAATGATATAGTACAATATAGTAATATTTAATACTGATATTGTACTATGCTAATAACATAATATATTGTATGTATATATATCTTGTAAGCCGCTCTGAGTCCCCTTCAGGGTGAGAAAGGCGGCATATAAATGTTGTAAATAAATAAATAAACTCATACAGAACAAAGAATTTTCACTTGTATGATCTTACACACTGATACTCACCAAGTTAAGTTTTCCAATTTTAACAAGCTCTTCTCCATCTATTGTTGTTTCTTTCATGTGCAATGTGACAGAGAACACGGAATGAGATCGACTGTAGAAAATATGTTAACAATTTTAGTGAACTTTTAAAAACATTTTAAAACTTACTAATTTACTTTTATTTATATGAACCCAATTTACAAAAATCCTTCAATTTAAGTGTGGAATTCCTGCTTTTAATTCTCTACCACATGTTTAAAAGGAAAATCAATTGAAATTTTGAAACTACAAAATGAAGGTTTCTAAGGAAAAGGGGCCCCCTGGTGGCGCAGCAGGTTAAACCAATTAGCTGCAGAACTTGCTGACCGAAAGGCTGGCAATTTGAATCCGGGGAGCAGGGTGAGCTCCCACTGTTAGCCCCAGCTTCTGTCGACCTAACAGTCCAAAAACATGCTAATGTGAGTAGATCAAAAGGTACTGCTTCTGCGGGAAGGTAACAGCACTCCATGCAGTCTTGTTGACATGACCTTGGAGGTGTCTAGGGACAACGCCAGCTCTTCAGCTTAGAAATTGCAGATAATCACCACCCCCGAGTTAAACACGACTAGACTTAATGTCAGGGGAAACCTTTACTTAAGGAAAAGTATCAATTCAAAGTATCAATTGGAGCCCCAGTGGCACAGTGGGTTAAAGCACTGAGCTGCTGAGCTTGTTGATCGAAAGGTCGCAGGTTCGATTCCGGGGAGCGGCGTGAGCTTCCGCTGTCAGCCCTAGCTTCTGCCAACCTAGCAGTTCGAAAACATGCAAATGTGAGTAGATCAATAGGTACCGCTCCGGCGGGAAGGTAACGGTGCTCCATGCAGTCATGCCGGCCACATGACCTTGGAGGTGTCTACGGACAACACTGGCTCTTTGGCTTAGAAATGGAGATGAGCACCAACCCCCAGAGTCAGGCATGACTGGACTTAATGTCAGGGAACTACCTTTACCTTTACCTATCAATTCAAAGATTGAAATCTTTTTCACAGGAAGTGAAAGAAACAAGGTTTTTTTTTAATATAAAATGTTTTCAGCCTTTCAAATGCTGGTTTGGAAGACTAGACTTTGCCTCAGGTACTCCCTCTGCAGGTCAAACAGTTATTTCTAAGTTATGTCAATCCCACAAACAAACATTACATTTTTATTTATCTAGACTAGTCACCCCCTGCCATGCGTTGCTGTGCCCCAGTCTGTGTATATCTGCTTTGTGTGTGTATATGTGTGTGTATATATATGTGGTTTTGTGCATGCTTTGTAATTTTTTTATTTTTTGGCTTTTAAGTCTCTTCTGCTGTGTTTTTCAGTTTTTATGAGTGATGGTCACTTGTTGGCCTGATAGGTGTATTGTGTCCAAATTTCGTGTCCATTCGTCCAGCGGTTTTTGAGTTATGTTAGTCCCACAAACAAACATTACATTTTTATTTATATTGCAATCTCCCCTTCTGGAAGATATTTTTCTTGAGACAAAAAGCAACAGCATGGAAAAGAAGAGACAGAACTATTTCTTACCTAGAGTACTGGTTCATATAAGTAGCTGCAGTCGTTCTTTTTGCCGCTCCCCTTTCTAAGATTTGATAAACTTCATCCTTGTTGTGTACAGTTATTTCTTCCAAACCCTTGATGATCACGCCTCTCTATAATAATAAAATGCAAAGTTCCGTATTCCATTCAGAATCCACAGTCTTTAAGAAGAAACAATTGTGGTTTTATTTTTTACCTTATTACGTGGATCATCAAACATTTGCAGCTTTTCTCCAACATCTGCTGATGGATTCAAAAGATCAAAGAGCTCTTCATTGTATATCTCCAGTAAAGACACTTTGACAGAAAATTCTGTACCGTTCTCTGCAAGTTTTTCAAATATTTGATGTAGTGTACGTGGAATCACACCAGCAAGTGGATCCTACCATAGGAAAACACAAAAACAACAGGTTTTCTTTAGTATCAAGAAATTTAATTTTAGAATGCTAGCGAGGCAAGTATGAAGAACTTTCAAGATACAAACACCACTGATAAAACCTACTTGTTTTGCTAAAATACTGAGACCTAGATTACAGTTTTCAAGAAAATAAACTGTATTAAACCACTTTCAAAGAATACAGGGAGTTGTCGTATATGTATAGGTTGAGGACAAGGTTTAGAGACAAAATATTGGATTTTTCTATAACCAGTGGATAGATTGAAGATTTTGTGGAGAAGGGAAAATGACAGCTACTGCTGGCCACCACAATTTTTCTACCCAGGTATTCAAAAAGGCCTTTTGCGACTCAGAAAAGGGGATCATTCCTTTCTTGATAAAAGTACAGTATGTAGACGAGCAGTCCTCAAGTTGCAAACATCCGACTTACAAACAACTCATCATTAAGAACGGGGGTGAAGCAACAGAAAGTGAGCAAAATCTACCCATCGAAAGGGAAATTCACTCCAGAAAGAGATATCATGGGAAACAGGTGTCTCCCCTGAAGCTCTATCAGCAATCCTTGTTTCTGCAAGTCAATTTTGTCAAAATCCAATTATCACAGGGACAGAAAGTGAGGTGAAATAATCTGGGCAGGGGCATAGACAGCAAAACAAACACCACGGGGCTGTTAGCCTTTCCCTAGGCTATCTTTTTTTGAAGAGTTAAGGTATAGTTCTAACAATGAGCAGTAAATAAATAGACCCTTTTTCTAATTTAACATTTCTAGAATTATGCTTCCCTAGGTAATATATGTGTGTGCGTGCACGAGCTCTCAGTGGCGCAATGGGTTAAACCACTGAGCTGCAGAACATGCTGACCGAAAGGTTGGCGGTTCAAATCTGGGGAGCGGGGTGTACTCCTAATGTTAGCCCCAGCTTCTGCCTACCTAGCAGTTCAAAAACATGCAAATGTAAGTAGATCAATAGGTGTCGCTTCTGCGGGAAGGTAACGGTGCTTTATGCAGTCATGCCGGACACATGACCTTGGAGGGATCTACAGACAATGTCAGCTCTTTGGCTTAGAAATGGAGATGAGCACCACCACCCCAGAGTCAGAATCGACTAGACTTAATGACAAGACAAAACCTTTATCGTTACAATATCTATGTGTGTGTATATATATGACTGGAGTTACATTTTAAAATTTATCCGCTCCAACTGACATACATACAAATTCAACTTAAGAACAAACTTACAAACAAAGCCTATCTTGTTCGTAACTTGGGGACTGCCTGTATTGATTTGGGCATAAAATGACCCAGGTGTTTCAGTTTGATTTTTCAACTAATACTTCTGTTATTTTAACACAAGTATTACTGTATATACTCGAGTATAAGCCTAGTTTTTCAGCCCTTTTTTGGGCTGAAAAAATCCCCCTCGGCTTATACTCAAGTCAAAGTTAGTTATTATTTTACTCTCTTATTATTTATTATTATGATTATTATTACATTTATTGTTTTACTCTATTATTACTGCTATTATTACATTTCCATTATTTTACTCTATCATTATTATTTTTACTGTATTACATTTTTTTTATTTTACTCTATTATTATTGGAAGAATACGTAAGCACTAAGCATATTTACATTGAAGAAGATTAGAATAATGGTTTAATCAAAGTTGGACAGTCTTAATTTAAGTTACAGTATTATGTAGGTATTCCAAAACATTTACCCTATGGATACCTCAGTTAATGTAATTTTATTGGTATCTATTTTTATTTTGAATATGCCAGTAGCTGTTGCATTTCTCACCCTCGGCTTACATTCGAGTCAATATGTTTTCCCAGTTTTTTGTGGTAAAATTAGGTGCCTCGGCTTATATTCGGGTCGGCTTATACTCGAGTATATACGGTATATATACTTATACATGAAGTCAACTTATACGTAGGCTAAGGGCAGGTTTGGAGTCAAAATTACAGGTTTTGATATTACTCGTGGATAACTAGAGTCGGGAAACCGTCAATACTAATACAGGAGCCAGCTGCCCCTGCCATGCCACCACCGTTTTCTTGCCCAGGAATTGAAAAGGGCCAGAAGTGGCACCACAGCAGAGTGAGTTGAAGTGGTTGGTGCCTTTTTTGGTTTCTCCCGGGATGAAATAAGCTTCTGCCCTTCGCCACTCTATTTAGAGAAGATTATTCCTTTTTGAAGAGTTACGGTACAGTTCTAACAATGATCCGTAAACAAATAGACAACTTTTCTAATTTAACATTTCTAGAATTATGCATGAGTACATGTGATATATACAGTGCTCTTTTGCATACAGCAGCCTGCAGTAAGCTGCTTCCATCAACTCAGCCAACTTGACCTTTGGAAGTTTTAGTCTAGCATGTCTCCAGGCACCAGGATGTGGAAGAATGGTGCACCGTCATTTTTCATAGCTCACTTAGAAAAGCATAAAACATATTTTACCTCTTCCCATGTAAATTCTGCATTAGGCGATCTTTCTCCTTCCATAGTAAAGGTCTTTCCTGTACCAGTTTGACCATAGCTGTGCAAAAACAAAAATAGAATGTTAGCTGCAAGAATATATTTTGGATGCAGAAGAAGAAATAAAATACAATACTCACGCAAATACAGTACAGTTATAGCCCATAAGCACTTCATCCAAAATGGGACAGATGACACTGCGGTACACATCAATTTGTTTTGCTTGTGCTCCAAAAACCTGTTGTGTAAGTTACAAGACATCAATACAATATTTTTTTTAAGTTGGTGTGAAATTGGAACTGGCTCTAACTGCCGCATAATCACTTCCAGATCATTAGAGCATTCTGACAAACCATTTCCCATTCTACAACTTGTCTACATCCATCCATGTAACAGCCTGTGACCGAATATATGAAAAATTTAGAATTAACTCATACTAATGCAGGAAAAAACAGCATTTAAAGCTTCCTTTCATCTATGTTAAAACCAAGTAAATGTATATGCCAAAAAATCCAGGATATAAATATAGTCAACTTTATACTGAAGAATTTCTCAAATGGGCATTTCTATTTTCTAATACCTTAGCTTCAGAAATTGTCAAAAGCTTTTAAAACTAAAAATACAAATAATAATTAGCTAATGCTTTATTATCAGAAGTTAAAATCCTGTTGGGCAGGGAGAACAACATCTGGGACTCTGCAGCAGGTTGGAAACTAGTGTAATAATAATAATAATAATAATAATAATAATAATAACAATAATAATAACAATAATAATAATAATTCATGCCCGCCTCTCCTCATGGCTCAAGGCGGGTTTCCAAAACAATAATGTGTCTTCTGATGTGTCTTCTGAACCGGGTTGTGGCGCAGCTAGTTGTAGCCAGCTGCATTAAATCACTACTGACCAAGAGGTTGTGAGTTCAAAACCAGTCCGGGTTGGAGTGAGCTCCTAATCATTAATAGTCTAGCTTGCTGTTGACCTATGCAGCCCGAAAGACAGTTGCATCTATCAAGTAGGAAATTTAGGTACCGCTTTATGCGAGGGAGGCCAATTTAACTAATTTATGACACTATAAAACCTTCCAGCAGCATGCGTAAGAAGGAAGAAGTACTCCATCAAGGACTCAGTGTCACAAGTGGACAGTGAAGCAGCAGCTCCCCCTGTGGTCGGAATAGAGCATACCCTGATGAAGCCGGAAAGCTGGAATGTTAAATTGCCTCTGTGTCTGTCTATATATGTTGTATGTCTAATGGCATTGAATGTTTGTCGTGTATATGTGCATTGTAATCCACTCTGAGTCCCCTGCGGGATGAGAAGGGTAGAATATAAATACTGTCAATAAATAAATAAATAAATTCTGATGGGCAAGCAGCCTGTTTATCCAAGGCACACATCTTCAAAGTCTCAGGCAGATGTCTTTACCAGTAAATGCTAACACTCTTTAAAATGGAAATGCTAGGGTTTGAATTCAGAACCTTACAAGTAAAACATTTCTTCTACCAATGAGCTATGATACTTCTAAATTATATGAACTCTTAAGGTTACTAGTAGAGAGACCCTTACCATGTCAAAAGTATATGTCTTCCTTGATGTTTTATCAGTTACACCTCCAGAGCGAACAGTAATTTCTTTCCTTGCATGTTCACACTCTATCACAGAGTAGGAATTGGATTTTCGTTCAGATGTATTGAAGGGCCTGAAAAAACAAAGAGAATGCTCAGCTGTCATTCACCACAATATTGTTGTCCATCCCTCCTATAAATTCCTCCAAAGACTTCCAGTATTATTTGTTGGTCATGGGGCTGCTGTATGCCAAGTTAGTTCCAAATCCTTCATTGGTAGAGTTCAGAGTGCTCTTAGATTGCAAGTGAACTATACATTCCAGTACTTACAACTCCTATAAATCATGGTGAATTCTCCCCAAATCTCCCTAAAATGTTCAGTTGCAAATTGATTCCTCTGTTTGCTGTGTGCCATAGAAAAAAGTAGGAAAGGGTTAAGGGAGAGGCAGTGGATGGGGTCATGCAAATTCCACAGCAATGGAGAGTCAGAAACGCTGGGATGTCTGTGGTGGAGGAAACACGTCAAATCTAGAATGAAATTGTCCCTGTATGAAAGCCTTCACTTGGGTGGAGGACAGATATGGTGTTTGTGGAAGACATTGGCAGGGCTCTTGTACATGTTCACAGAACTCAATATAACTACAATGTCACTGAATGGAGGGTCATTGGTGTCTCCTGAGGAGTGGAAGCTATAGCTGTTTGTGGAGACAGGAGCTTGTTTTTGTAAGTGGACACCCCAGCCACACACACATACCTTTTCACTTTTATCATGTGTATAGATTCTAGGTTTAATTTGATATTCATGTTTTATTATGTACTAGCCATCCCCTGCCACGCGTTGCTGTGGCCCAGTCTTGTGTATATGTGTTTTGTGTGTATATATGTGTATATATGTGGTTTTGCGCATGCGTTGTAATTTTTTTTTTTTTGGCTTTTTAAATCTCTTCTGCTGTGTTTTTCAGTATTTTTATGAGTGATTGAGTGATGGTCACTCGTTGACCTGATAGGTGTACTGTGTCCAAATTTGGTGTCAACTCGCCCAGTGGTTTTTGAGTTATGTTAATCCCACAAACAAACATCACATTTTTATTTATATAGATTTGCTATTATGAAACTGTTAAGAAAATGTATATTTAATATGGATAAAATTGCATTGTTTGATTTCTCTATCATGTTTTGATGAAACAGGCAAGAAAGTCTAAATTAGAACTTTTTAAAATTTCTTTCCTAGGCTCTGGTTAAGCCATACCTGAAACTGAGTGCTATTCTCATTAAAAAAAATCTTTCCACTAGGAAATTAAGGTTTCACACACTTGTGTACTAATGATCTACTGATACAAGTGAAGCTAGGATAGGGAAACCAAGAGAATGGGGAACAACTTCAGTGGTTCATCACACAGAATGAAGTAGATGAGTGAAAGTAAAATGACTGGAACTTGGACAAGAACCAACATAATTCAATCAGGCTGCAAATCATTTGGAAGCATAATGTTTCTGTCATGTATATGAAGTCAATGAACATTAGTAAGTTCCCTGACAGGGCCCTGTCATGAAAAGCAACACGCATGTACTTTAAGCAATAGAGGAACTGTATTGTCGAAGGCTTTCATGGCTGGAATCACTCAGTTCTTGTGGGTTTTTTCGGGCTATATGGCCATGTTCTAGAAGCATTTCGTCAGGAGAAGCATCAAGCGAAACGTCAGGAGAAATGCTTCTAGAACATGGCCATATAGCCCGAAAAAACCCACAAGAACTGAATAGAGGAACTAATTATGTAGCTGATTTTAGAACTGAGCAGCCTTATATCTGGCTAACCTAACTATTTTAGGTGTGTTGTATTATGTTACTGATAAAATCAAAACAGTAAAAGAGATTTGAGAGCGTGTAAATGTGTATTTCTCAATTCCTCCTTGTCTGTGACAGCTCATCCATCTCCCTGATTCTGCTAGAGAATCTGCTGATTATGCTTGTTAAAGATGTCATAAAATGCAGAATATCATAACTGTGAAATGATCACTTGCTGTTTTAGTTGTGTAATACTCTCCTGCAAATTCCTCAAGACTGCATTGAGGATCGTAGAGGTGAAAACAGTACAGCTCTTCCAATATTGTTGAATTGCAACGCCCAACAGTCCTGGCTAGCATAACTAATGTAAAGGAACACAGTGAGTTGCAGCCTAATTACATCTGAAGGTTGAAACATTCAAACCCCTGATCTAAAGTCAGGCTATTATCATTTTTGTTCCAGCAGACCTTTAGAGTATATTATAGCTGGGTTTCTTTGGTCTTACATAATTTACCATCTATAGTTTACAGGCCTGTCATTTTTAAAATCCAAGGCATAGAAAAAGATAAAAGTAGTGGTGTTGCATATAAAAGAGTGGGGAAAAAATTAGAATCTGTATCAGTGCAATGCCCTCGTGAAACAAATCAAGGTCACAAGAGAGTATGTAAACTTGGATGTTCTCCTGACTTCTATCAAGCAAGACAGTAAACAAAGGAATGGAGATGAAATGGTGGAGGTAGGGGGTGGGGGTAAGGCTATGTTAAAGTCATGGTACCAAATTATAATCGTTAGGTCTTCAAGATCTTATATATATATAAAAATGCTCTGTGCATAATGAATTCCTTAAAAACAAAAGAACCAATGAACGAAATCACATCAAATTTGGCAACAAAACGTCTCACAACACAAGGAGTGACTATCACTCCAAAAAAATATGATTTTGTCATTTGGGAGTTGTAGTTGCTGGGATTTATAGTTCACCTACAATCAAAGAGCATTCTGAACTCCATCAACGATGGAATTGAACCAAACTTGGCACACAGAACTCCCATGACCAACAAAAAATACTGGAAGGGTTTGGTGGGCATTGACCTTGAGTTTGGGAGTTGTAGTTCACCTACATCCAGAGAGCACTGTGGACTCAAACAATGATGGATCTGGACCAAACTTGGCACAACACTCAATACGCCCAAATATGAACACAGATGGAGTTTGGGGAAATAGACCTTGACATTTGGGATCTGTAGTCACTGGGATTCACAGTTCACCTACAATCAAAGAGCATTCTGAACCCCACAAATGACAGAATCGGGGCAAACTTCCCACACAGAACACCCATAACCAACAGAAAATACTTAAGGCCATCCAGTCCAACTCCATCAGGGCAAGAAAACGTAATCAAAGCTCTCCTGACAAAGAACCATCCAGCCATAGATACAGATAGATAGATATGATTCACACACACAGAGATATAGTATCCTAGATTTGAAAGGGACCCCTAAAGAAGGACAATGATATGTTGCATGTTCCATGGTGGGCAAACCAGACAGTCTCCACATCAACACCGACAAAGAAACAGCAAGAAATACTGTTTACCCACAAGCACAAAGAAATTACATATATTAGTAACCATCACTTTCTCATTACTTTATTTTCCAGATCAACAGACTGGGCCACAGCAACGCGTGGCAGGGGACAGCTACTTCTTCATAAAAGGTGCCAAAATGCATTCAACAACTGTCTGCTTTGTAAAAATAGTTCTTAATCAGGAAAAGAAATACAGACACTAATCCATCTTCAATGTGCTCCCTTTTACCAATTCTCTAATGTATTTTAGAAAATCTGGATGTAATCTGAGCAGTAAGTAGGATTATTTCTCTCTAATATCTTAGCATCATACAGTTCATACATAGAAACAAGACTCTTGAAAAATGGTATACTGTCACATTCAAAAATGGTCCATGAATATGTTCCTCGACAATTTAAAACACCAAGCTACAACAGTAAAACAACAGAGAGGAAACTATCAGGGGCATTTAATCAACTGTCAACAAAAGATTGCCCCAGGCACCAACAAGCCACACCAAACTACTCTGCCAGGCCATCAAATGCTAATCAAGGTGGTCAGTTGAAACGTTCACACCTAGCTCCAACAGACAAGAGTCCTTTGTCCCACCCTGGTCATTCCACAGATATATAAACCCATTTTCCTAGTTCCAACAGACCTCACTACCTCTGAGGATGCTTGCCATAGATGCAGGCGAAACGTCAGGAGAAAATGACTCTAGAACATGGCTGTATAGCCCGAAAAACCTGCAACAACCCAATGCTTTCTGAGATCTTTTAAACACATCAAACAGCTAAATGATGGCTTTATATATCAATAATTATGTTATAATGTGCACCCTTTGGAAATAATAGTAATACTACTTATAATCATTTTTTAAAAGTAAAAGCTATAAAGAACGAACTTTTTTACTCTCTTAATCTTGTACTCATGACTGGATGTCCTTTTATTATTAAGAGTACTTGCGAGATTTAGAAGAAGAGCAAAAGAGATAATGGAAGAGAAGGCACCACAAACAGACATAGATTGACTTGGCTTTATTTTAAGCAGGTAAGGCAACAATCCTTAATACCCCAGAGATACTATTGGAGCAAAGCACAGCCCAGAAGCTTCTTAAAGATTCCCACAAACTAGCAGGTACCAGTAATCAACCTAAAATTATTTGTTTTTTAAAACCTTGTGGTTTCTGCTTTCCAATTATTATTTGGAGACTTTGTTTTGATGACCTTTCTCCTGAAGAGGTCTTATTTTTGCATTGCTGCTGTTTTTTATCATAGCATTTTAGCAATATATTGTATTTCAATTTTCACGCAGAAGGAAACCATGTCAATGGTGCGTCAATCTGATCTGTATGAATAAAGGATTATTAACCTTCAGGAAGCTTTTTGACAGCCAAATATTTGTATTTCAATTCAGTAGTTGAAATCCAATAGTGTAGAGAACTATGTCTAAATCAGGTTGGGTAGGATTAAAGACTTAAATGATCATCAATTTGACTTCTTTCACAGAGACATCTGAATTACAACTTTTCTTTTTTGGAGAATGATGGCTTGCTTTTTCTCTCCTTTTGGGTATTTTAAAAAAACCTTAGACCAAGAATGGGTTGTATGGAAACAGGAATCTAGAGTATTATGGACCATCAACAGTCTTTTGTTATTGTAAGATGCTGCTTGCCACACTAATCATTCAACCCACAGGAAGTAGAACAGGAAAAGCATAGTCTGAGAAAATGGACATTGATCCATGAAAGCTCATGTCATGTATTATTTAGAAACTTTGCAAAGCTTCTATACTAGGCATGGGCAAATTTCAGCCCTTCAGGTGTTTTAGACTTCAACTCCCACAATTGCTAACAGCCAGTAGGCTGTTAGGAATTGTGGGAGTTGAAGTCCAAAACACCTACAGGGCTGAAGTTTGCCCATGCTTGTTATATACACAAGTGCTTTCAAGTCCTTTAGAATGAATGCACTTAGACGGATATAGAACTGTATTGCAACTTCCATTGCCTAGGACTGTGTTGGACCATTCTTCCACAATCACCTTCTTGACTTTAGCAATGATAGGTTTTTTTTTGTCATACAGGTTGACAACCATTATCCAGAATTCCAAAATCCAAAGCAAGTGAGTGCTGTAGTGCAAACTTTGCTTTCTGATGCTTCAGAGTATACAAACTTAATTACACCATACAATTACCTCCAAGCTATGTCTATGAGGTATTTATGAAGCAAAATTGAACTTCATGTTTAGATCTGGGTCCCTCTCCAAGAAGTCTTATGCAAACACAAGTACAGTAGAGTCTCGCTTATCCAACATTAGCTCATCCAGTACTCTGTATTATCCAAATCAGTCAGCCTCCTGCTCGGATCCACAGCTGTTTCAATACATTATGATGTTGGTGCTAAATTCGTAAATACAGTTATTACTACATAACCTTACCATGTATTGAACTGTTTTTCTGTCAATTTGTTGTAAAACACAATGTTTTGGTGCTTAATGTATTGTTGAAGGTTTTCAGGCCAGAATTACTGGGTTGCTGTAGGTTTTTTGGGCTGTATGGCCATGTTCTAAAAGCATTTATTTATTTACCGCATTTATATACTGCCTTTCTCAGCCCGAAGGCGACTCAGGGCAGTTCACAATCGGCAACAATTTGATGTCTCCACAACTATAAAGTGCAAGTTAAAAACATATTATAAATACATTCTCTCCTGACGTTTCACCTGCATCTGGGGCAAGCATCCTCAGAGGTTGTGAGGTTTGTTGGAAACTAGGAAAATAGGGTTTATAGGTCCAGGGTGAGAGAAAATTGGGTTTATATGTCTAGGATGAGAGAAAGAACTGATTAGCATTTGATGGCCAACAAACCTCACAACCTCTGAGGATGCCTGCCACTGATGCAGGCGAAAGTCAGGAGAGAATGCTTCTAGAACATGGCCATACAGCCCGAAAACCTACAACAACCCTTCTGGTGCTTAATTTGTAATTTGATGTTTAATAGGCATTTCCTTAATCCCTCCGTATTATCCAAAATTTTCTCTTATCCAATGTTCTGACGGCCTGTTTATGTTGGATGTCATCAGTCAGGGACCCCTCTCCCCAGCACCAATTGCTGCTCTGGGCCAGAGTGAAGAGAGAGGGGGCCAGGGGACAGTTCAACCTTGTCTCCTGTGCTATTCTAATAATATAATATAATCTATATAAATAAAAATGTAATGTTAGTTCGTGCTACCATCAGAACTCAAAAACCACTGGGGGAATTGACACTAAGTTTGGACACAAGACACCTAACAGTCCAATTTAAGTCCTCCACTCAAAAAAATTGATTTGTCTTTTGGGAATTGTTGTTGTTGGGATTTATAGTTTACCTACAGTCAAAGAGCATTCTGAACTCCACCAATGATGGAATTGGGCCAAACTTAGCACACAGGGCTCCCATGACTAACAGAAAAAACTGGAAAGGTTTGGTGGACATTGACCTTAAGTTTGGGAATTATAGTTCACCCGCATCCAGAGAGCATTGTGGACTCAAACAATGATGGATCTGGACCAAACTTGGCACGAATATTCCATATGCCCAAATATGAACACAGATGGAGTTTAAGGGAAATAGACCTTGACATTTGGGAGTTGTAGTTGCTGGGATTTATAGTTCACCTACAATCAAAGATAATTCTGAACTCCACCAATGATGGAATTCTACCAAACATGGCATACAGGACTTCCATGACCAACAGAACACACTGGAAGGGTTTGGTGGGCATTGACTTTGAGTTTGGGAGTTGTAGTTCACCTACATCCAGGGAGCACTGTGGATTCAAACAATGATGGATCTGAACCAAACTTGACACAAAAATTCCATATGCCTAAATATGAACACAGATGGAGTTTGGAGGAAATAGACCTTGACATTTGGGATTTGTAGTTACTGGGATTTATAGTTCACTACAATTAAAGAGCATTCTGAAACCCACAAACGACAGAAATGGGGCAAACTTCCCACACAGAACCCCCATGATCAACAGAAAATACTTAAGGCCATCCAGTCCAACTCTCTTCACCAGGGCAAGAAAATGTAATCAGAGCCCTCCTGACAAAGAGCCATCTAGTCATAAATATAGATAGATAGATATGACTCTCACACAGATATAGTATCATAGATTTGAAAGAGACCCTTAAGGACTATGATATGTTGCATATTCCAGAGTAGGCAAACCAGACACTCTCCACATCAACACTGACAAAGAAACAACAAGAAATACTGTTTACTCACAAGCATAAAGGAATTTCTTGGTGGGTCTGTAGGTGGTTTGTATGTTGTGTTTCCTCATCAGCTTCCTTGCCATACATCAAGGGAACCACTGACTGCATAGAGAAGCTGATGAGGAAACACAACATACAAACTGTCTACAGACCCACCAAGAAAATCCAAGAAATACTATGTTCGGCAAAGGACAAGAGGGATCCTCTTACTTCTGCAGGAGTCTACCGTATACCATGCAGCTGTGGACCAGTCTACATAGAGACCACCAAACGCAGCATTGCCCGAACACGAATCAAGGAACATGAAAGGCACTGCAGACTACTTCAACCAGAGAAGTCAGCCATAGCAGAGGACCTGATGAACCAACCTGGACACCGCATATTATTGGAGAACACAGAAATGTTGGACCACTCTCACAACCACCATGTCAGACTACATAGAGAAGTCATTGAAATCCACAAGCATGTGGACAATTTCAACAGAAAGGAAGAAACCATGAAAATGAACAAAATCTGGCTACCAGTATTAAAAAAAAACCTCAAAAATTACAACAGCAAAACAACAGAGAGTAAACAATCAGGCACATCAAATCACCTCCCAAAGAAAGATTCCCCCAAGCACTTCCAAGCAATTAAACACTAATCAAGGTGGTCAGTTGAAACATTCACAGCTAGCTCCAGCAGACAAGAGTCCTTTGCCCCACCCTGGTCATTCCACAGATATATAAACCAATTTTCCTACTTTCAACAGACCTCAACACCTCTGAGGATGCTTGCCATAGATGCAGGCGAAACGTCAGGAGAAAATGCCTCTAGAACATGGCCATATAGCCCGAAAAAACCTACAACCCATAGATAGATTAATAGAAGAGCTACTGAGTATTTAGATAGATAGTATTGGGCATTTGCCTCCAAAGCTAATTTTGAGCCATAGATAAGAGAAAAAAAACCTGCTTTTTCTTACCATAGGGGCTCAGGGTTAGGGTAGAATTCCAGAATTCATTATACCTTTTGGAGGAACAACGCCTCAATATTTGCATGCAAGAAAGCTCATCTCTATACTTTACCAATTGACTGTAACGTTGATAAGCTGAGCCAAGTCTACAAAGATGTTGTTAATAAATACCCTGTTTGCTGTTCCATACCTGAAGTGGACTCAGTTACTCAGAAAGTTTGAGCTTTCAAAGAAAGATCCCAGTGATCCACTCAGAGAAAGATAGCAGCACATCGGTTTATTTTTAAGGCTGCTGAGTATGCATGCCCAGTGTGGAACACATCTCACCACACTAAAACCGTGGATGTGGCTCTTAATGAGACATGCCGCATTATCACAGGGTGCCTGCACCCTACACCACTGGAGAAATTACACTGCTTAGCTGGTATTGCACCACCTGACATCTGCCGGGAAGTAGCAGCCAATAGTGAAAGGACCAAGGCTGTGACATCTCCAGCTCATCCCTTGTTTGGGTATCAGGCAGCACGGCAACGACTTAAATCAAGAAATAATTTTCATAGATCTACAGAGACACTCGCTGGAACACCTCAGCAAGCGAGAGTCCAAAAGTGGCAGGCTCAAACCCAGCACCTCAATCTGTGGACGATACCATAAGGGCTCAGGGTTAGGGTAGAAGAATTCCAGAATTCATTATACCTTTTGGAGGAACAACACCTCAATATTTGCATGCAAGAAAGCTCATCTCTACACTTTACCAATTGACTGTAACGTTGATAAGCTGAGCCAAGTCTACAAAGACTTTGTTAATAAATACCCTGTTTGCTGTTCCATACCTGAAGTGGACTCAGTTACTCAGAAAGTTTGAGCTTTTAATTACGCTAATACTGCCAGCTCTTAAGTTCTCAGTGTGAGTGTGATGGGGAGGCAAAAGGCAAGAGGGGCGATTCTCTACTCTTAAAGGGGCCAAAAGTGGTGTCAAACCTCTATAATTTTGCAGTATAGAAGGTCTGGAAGTCTTGGGTCAGTAAAACTCAACAAACTAAAAGGATCCAAGGACCGAGTCGGGCCTTCTCTAAGGAGAGGTGGGAAGTGGATGCAGCGTGGCACCTCTTTGACTTCAGGGAGGCCTTACCTGCACCTGACCACCACCTGGATGTTCTTGCCCTTCTCCTCCTTCTTCCCGCCGCCCTGGAAAGCCATCCTGAGGGGGGAACAACAAACTCCGGCTCCTTCCTGAAGCGACCAAAACGAGGCGCGCCTAAAACCCTGCAACCGGTGGCTCCTTGATCCCACAGTTTGAACAGCTCGCGCTCCCCAGTCTCAGCCAATCAGAGGTGCGCCTGCAAGCCGCGCGCGGGGCACTATGGGACCTCTTTTGTTTCTCCGCTTCCCTCTTCTTGTAGGCGTTAGTTCGAGCTGGTGACGTAAAAGGGTGGAACATAGACTGCAGTAAGGAAAAAACATATAGACCTACCTGTTTCACAGTTCGAAGAGGACACTTCCTGCTTTCTTTATCTCCCTTTTTTTAAAGCCTCAGAATCATAGAATCAAAGAGTTGGAAGAGACCTCATGGGCCATCCAGTCCAACCCCCTGCCAAGAAGCTTCTTCTTCTTAGGCGATCCCTCGTTGGACGAGTAAGATGGTCTTCCATTATGCGTTTCCTTGTGGGTTCGTAAGTGGCTGTGGAGCCCTATTCTTGACCCGCATCTTCTCCCACAGTGAGGGCATTGGTTTCCAGGTGGGAGGCGGTCCCGGTCGGGGTTGGCTTGACGCGCCTTCCTCCTGGCACGTTTCTCTCTTTCACCCTCCACTCGTTCCTCCTCGAATTCTACAGCACTGCTGGTCACAGCTGACCTCTAGCTGGAGCAGTCAATGGCCAGGGCTTCCCAGTTCTCAGTGTCTATGCCAGAGATTTTAAGGTTGGCTTTGAGCCCATCTTTAAATCTCTTTTCCTGTCCACCAACGTTCCGTTTTCCGTTCTTGAATTCAGAGTAGAGCAACTGCTTTGGGAGATGGTGGTCGGGCATCCCGACAACGTGGCCGGCCGAGCGGAGTTGATGGCAGAGGACCATCGCTTCAATGCTGGTGGTCTTTGTTTCTTCCAGCACGCTGACGTTTGTCCGCTTGTCTTCCCAAGAGATTTGCAAGATTTTCCAGAGGCAGTGCTGATGGAATCGTTCCAGGAGATGCATGTGACGTCTGTAGACAGTCCACGTTTCGCAGGCATAGAGCAGGGTTGGGAGGACAATAGCTTTATAAACAAGCACCTTGGTATCCCTACGGATGTCCCGGTCCTCAAACACTCTCTGCTTCATTCGGGAAAATGCTGCACTCGCAGAGCTCAGGCGGTGTTGTATTTCGGTGCCAAGAAGCAGGAATATTGCATTCAAATCACCCCTGACAGATGGCCATCCAGCCTCTGTTTAAAAGCTTCCAAAGAAGGAGCCTCCACCACACTCCGGTCCAGAGAGTTCCACTGCTGAACAGCTCTCACAGTCAGGAAGTTCTTCCTCATGTTCAGATGGAATCTCCTTTCTTGTAGTTTGAAGCCATTGTTTTGCATCCTAGTCCCCAGGGAAGCAGAAAACAAAAGCTTGCTCCTTCCTCCCTGTGGCTTCCTCTCACATATTTATACACGGCTATCATATCAGATATGCAGATGACACCACTCTGATGGCCAAAAGTGAGGACGAGTTGAGGAGCCTTCTAATCAAGGTGAAAGAAGAAAGCGCAAAAGCTGGGTTTCAGCTAAACATCAAAAAAACCAAAATCATGGCTACAGGAATGATTGACAACTGGAAAATAGAGGGAGAAAATGTGGAGGCCGTGACAGACTTTGTATTTCTAGGTGCAAAGATTACTGCAGATGCAGACTGTGGCCAGGAAATCAGAAGACGCTTACTTCTTGGGAGGAGAGCAATGACCAATCTCAATAAAATAGTAAAGAGTAGAGACATCACACTGGCAACAAAGATCCGCATAGTCAAAGCCATGGTATTCCCTGTAACCCTACGGATGTGAGAGCTGGACCTTAGGGAAGGCTGAGCGAAGGAAGAGAGATGCTTTTGAACTGTGGTGTTGGAGGAAAGTTCTGAGAGTGCCTTGGACTATGAGAAGATCCAACCAGTCCATCCTCCAGGAAATAAAGCCCGACTGCTCATTGGAGGGAAGGATACTAGAGATAAAGTTGAAGTACTTTGGCCACATCATGAGGAGACAGGAAAGCTTAGAGAAGACAATGATGCTGGGGAAAGTGGAAGGTAAAAGGAAGAGGGGCCGACCAAGGGCAAGATGGATGGATGGCATCCTTGAAGTGACTGGATTGACCTTGAAGGAGCTGGGGGTGGTGACGGCCGACAGGGAGCACTGGCGTGGGCTGGTCCATGAAGTCACGAAGAGTCGGAGACAACTGAATGAATGAACAACAACAATCATATATCCTCTCAGCCTTCTCTTCTTCAGGCTAAACATGCCCAGCTCCTTAAGCCGTTCCTCATAGGGCTTGTTCTCTAGACCCTTGAGTATTTCAAACAGTGGCACAGTGGGCTAAACTGCTGAGCTGCTAAACTTGCTGACCGAAAGGTGCATATAATATACTAGCTGCCCCATGCCACGCGTTGCTGTGGCCCAGTCTGTGTATATGTGTTTTGTGTGTATATATGTGTATTTGCATGTATATGTATGTATGTATGTATGTGTGTGTGTATAACGGCGCTTCATGCAGTCATGCCGGCCACATGACCTTGGAGGTGTCTATGGACAATGCCGGTTCTTTGGCTTAGCAATGGAGATGAGCACCACATCTCAAAGTCAGACATGACTGGACTTAATGTCAGGGGACAACCTTTACCTTATGTGTGTATATATGTGTGTGTGTGAACCTCACTACCTCTGAGGATGCTTGCCATAGATGCAGGCAAAATGTCAGGAGAAAATGCCTCTAGAACATGGCCATATAGCCCGGAAAAACCTACAACAACCCAGTGATTCCGGCCATGAAAGCCTTCGACAAGACAAAATCAATTTTTTTGCGTGAAGGACATGCATTGGGTTGTTAGGTGTCTTGTGTCCAAATTTGGTGTCATTTCGTCCAGTGGTTTTTGGGTTATGTTAATCCCACAAACGAACATTACATTACAATTCATAATATTGTAATGTAATACAATATACAGAGGCAGCCCTAGGTAATTTTCAACGGTAAGCAAACAGTATTTTGGCGCCCCCTCCCCCAACCAATCACTGATATATATTTTCTGTTTGTCGTGGGAGTTCTGTGTTCCATATTTAGTTCAATTCCATCATTGGTGGAGTTCAGAATGCTCTTTGATTGTAGGTGAACTATACATCCCAGTAACTACAACTCGCATATGTCAAGGTCTATTTTCCCCCAAGAGCGCTCAAGAGCACCCCTGGGCAAAATCAACTATACTACAAATGCTTACTTTGCATAATGGGTTGAGCGCCCCTGGGCAGCACTCACCAAGGCCCTTTCTACACTTCCGTATCATCCAGATTATCAAATCAGATAATCTGGATTTTATATGGCCATGTAGGACGGGCCTGACAAAAACCTTTCTAAGCGACAGTTAAGGGGAATGATTTATGGTAACATGTAAAACCTGAAAAGACAAACCTTGGTGTTTATTGAAACTGCATTCTTTAATCAGGCGAGTGGTGGAGCTAAGAATTTTCAAAGGATACATCAAGCCTCATCTACACTGTAGAATTAATGCAGTTTGATACCACTTGAACTACAATGGCTCAGTGCTATGAAATTGTGAGAGTAGTAGTTTTACAGGATTTTTAGCTTTCTTTGCGAAATAGTGCTTTGTGCTTCACTAAACTACAACTCCTATAATTCTGTAGTATTGAACCATAGCAGTTAAAGTAGTGCTAACCTGCATTAATTGTACAATCTAGATCAGGGGTCCTCAAACTAAGGCCCGGGGGCTGGATACGGCCGTCCAAGGTAATTTACCTGGCACTTGCTCAGGGTCAACCTAAGTCTGAAATGACTTGAAAGCACAGAACACCAACAACAATCCTATCTCATCAGCCAAAAGTAGCCCTACATTTCCCACTGAAATACTAAGAAGTTTATTTATTATTTATGTATTATTTATTTACAGTATTTATATTCCACCTTTCTCACCCCAAAGGAGACTCAGGGTGGATTACAATGTACATATACATGGCAAACATTCAGTGCCATAGACATATAACATATATAGACAGACATTCAGAGGCTATTTAACATTCCAGCTTCTGGCCACCAGGGGAGCTGTCGCTTCACCGTCCGCTTGTGACATTGATGAAGTACTTCCTCATTCTTTGCATACTTCCTGGAGATTTTTATGGCCTCATAAATCAGCTAAATTATATTTCTTAAAATTGTTATTCATTTTAATTATTGTATTGTTTTAAAGTGTTTTTTGCACTACAAATAAAATATGTGTAGTGTGCCTAGAAATTCATTCATGGTTTTTTCAGATTATAATCTGGCCCTCCAACAGTTTGAGGGACTGTGACCTGGCCCTCTGTTCAAAAAGTTTGTGGACCCCTGATCTAGATGCAACCCAAGACCCAGAGCCTGTTAGAGAGCATAGTAAATATCTTTATCATGTCTAATCAAGTTATCATGAAGTTGTGAGTTTTCACATTTTCCAGGATTTTTCATTTCAGCAAAGCAAGAGGAGCAGCAGATGGGGAGGGGATTAGCACATCTCTGCAGTGCTAAAATTGTGCCTTTATATTTCCACATTTCCTGATTATCTCCCTGTATCTTGAACTTTTTGGGCAAAGTCCTGGAACGTGTGGTGGCCTCACAACTACAGGTATTGTTGGAAGACACGGATTATCTGGACCCGGCACAGTCTGACTTTAGACCAGGACATGGAACCGAGACAGCCTTGGTCGCCTTAGTTGATGATCAATGGCAGGAGCTAGACAGGGGGAGGGTGTCCCTGTTGGTTCTGCTGGACCTCTCAGTGGCCTTCGATACCGTTGACCACAATATCCTTCTGGTACGCCTTGCTGGAGTGGGCCTGGGAGGCTCTGGACTTTTCTGGAAGGTCGCACCCAGAAGGTGTTACTGGGGACTCCTGTTCAACCCCACAACCATTGTCTTGTAGGGTTCCTCGGGGTTCAATTGCCTCCCATGTTGTTTAACATCTACATGAATCCGCTGGGGGAGAATATCTGGAGTTTTGGGGTGCAGTGTCACCTGTACGCAGATGATTTCCAACTCTATCACTCCTTCCCATCTGTTACTAAGGAGGCTATTCAGGTCCTGAACCAATGCTTGGCTGCTGTGATGATCTGGATGAGGGCAAACAAATTGAAACAGAATCCAGAC